CCTTGGAGGAGTTGCATGTTGGTTATGACAATGTTTCTACATCTGTTGCCTTCCAGGTAATTTTCCATTTGGATGCTTGTGATTGGATTTTGTTTTTTGATTTTCCACAAAGTATTTTTGAGAGCTATATTGATACAATGGGCATAATCTTTATGAACTACAAAGCAATCTGAATTTATCTTTGTCTTTCCGCCACTTTACCCTTCCTGATAAGCAACAATATGTGCTTTTGTCATCATAACAATTGTAAGACGCTGTATATTGTGTGGAGTGGAAGAATGAGAATAATCCTAATCTCAGGATGATCCCAGATCTCACCACCAAGTATCTTTGCTTATGGTGAAGTGGGGCTTTGACTAAAATCACCAGCTTTCTTCTCTCCTTCAATATTGGGCTTCTTTATTCTTTATTGGTGTGAAAGAGATAGTTCAGAACCATTTGAATCCTGTTGAAGGCTGTTTTCCATCCCAGTTTTTTTAAAACTATCTGCTTTGAGCTATTTTAAAGCTACATTAAACATTTCAGGATTGAGTGTCTCACCATATTAATCCAGTCAGTTGATTTTTATGCTGAAGCTTTGCCTAGAATGTTTTCAAATCTATACCAAAAGGAGAAGCAATACTTGAAAATAAATGTGACTATCTTGCTTCAGATTCAATGACTGAGCAACTTGACGCAAATCAAATTTGTATTCAAATCAGGAAGTTGGGCTTTGATAATTTAAAGGAAGAGGCACATTGACAGGATCCTCACTCTTCAATGTGTACAACTGTTTGGTAAAGGAAAGGGTCTAAATACAAGAAAGATTGCTTTTCTATTTGAAATCTAACAGTAATGGCATAAAAATCCAGAATTATCATTCATCCATGTCATCGGTATTTAGCCTTGACACCAGCCTCACAAAAAATATTGTACTCCATGGAGTATTGTTGATAGCCATCCTTATGACCAACTGTTTTGCTGGAACTCCATTCTGCATGTCCACTAATGAACTTTAGAAAAACGCAAATGCAGGAAGTTTTAAATCCTTCAAATACAGTAGTGTGTCTAAAGATAAATAAAGATGTGTCTAGGAATTAATTTGGGTCTGCTGCTGCATTCTGGTTAGCTCAATCAATTGAACACTGGATTTGGAATTGGAAATAAATTATATCCTGAAGATCACTCACTTAATTTAGAGGTTGAAGAAATCATTTCTATTCTTTAAAATAATTTATTGGGATTGACAGGCTCTAAGAAGATGTACCTTGCCAAACCAAGTATATCTGCAGTAACTTAGGGCATTGTTGAGGGTTGAGCAACCTATCATGCTCATCAGTGAGACTTAGCGATGTAGCCATTTCCTCAAAGCCCTAATGGGAAGGACAGGCCTAGCGGGATGATACCATAAAATGTATGCACGCTTTATGCTGGCAAAAAGCATTCAGCAGTTGCCATTTATTCTACAGGCACATAAGCTGCTGGAGGTCAGAATGCTTTATTTGTTGTCGTTTAAAATTACCGAGGCAGCATTCATCAGGGAGGCAGCAGACAATCACTCTGTGAGGATCACTTCATGCAGAATAAAGCAAAGAACTGGGAAGTGTTTCCCAAATTACTTGGCTCATATAAGCAGGTTAATAAAATGAATGCAATTTAGGAAAAGTACTGAACTGAAATTCTCGTCTGTACAAATCACTGGTGAATGATAATTTGTAAACGAGTTCTGGGTTGTGTTATCTTGAAGGTTTCAGTATGTTGGAATTTAATTCTTCGCATGAATACATTGAGTACTTTCCCCACTCATAAAGCGGAATTAATTTCTTAGCTACAGAAAGTGTCCCACAATGCATTCTTCTTCCTCTAAATCTTTAGATATCCTAAATGGTTTTGTGTTTACAGGAGTAGAAAATGTTTTCTTTTTTAAATGAATTCATAATCTGAATTAAAATGTTAGCTTGGTGTTCACACTTCATAAAGCATTGCCATCTGCCTATGTCATTTGAGACATTTTCACATGGAGAATGATTTCTGAGACCCCCGTTCTTGAATAAGAAGGGATAAAATATTTTGACAAAAAATTCCGATATACAGTCATGAATAGGTCAGAATATTCCTATTAATAAATGGTTTAAATCAGTGAAGTTATTACTTGTGAATGAATGCAGGGAACTGCTGTCAGTTCTGAAATTTAGTCTCCAGCCATCAACCCTGGAGAGGTTTTTTAAATTGGTGAGAACTGTAATGTCTTGCTTGCTCTCATGGGAAATTTTCCAAGTTCCTAAGCTGTTCTCCAAAGGAAAGGACAGGCTGAGGTGCTCATCTTTGATAGATTAGACAGTCTGAGATGCTCAAAGTATGAATGATGCACCCTAGAAAGATTTTGGTCTGTATCAATGCTTAAATCTGATGTGCAAAACAAAGAAAATGTATGTGTTAGGTTGATGTAGTGCTTCTTCATGTTACGACACATAAGAACTTCAAAAAATGAGGATAGTCAAAGAGTGGGATTGCATGGAGGTGAAGGAAATAATCTTTGCCATTGAGAATGAAAGAATGGTGAAGACGGGTTATTCTTTGCAGAAGGGTAGAGGGTATCAAGTTTGATTACACGTCTTCAATAAAAGATGGGGAAAAGAATAAAATAGGGAATTGTAGCATTACCTCAATTGTGGGTAAACTTAGAATATTAACACATCAACTGATCCTTCGTGGAAATAGTTTCTCCCTATTTATTTACCTTCTGAAAATCCCTATTTTGGAGCTTCTTTGAAGTTCCTAAAATTATTTTGAAGTGTAGGAACTATTGTATGAATGCAAGCAAATATTGATTGAATATAAATAAGGCTGCCGATGTCAGTTATTCTGGAAAGGCAATTGAAGCATGGAACAAAAGGGAAAGGAAGTGATCCAAAGGTTATGAATAAGGGCATCCATCTTTAACTGAACCAGAAACATTAACTGTTTGAACGAATGCTTCACAGTTCACTCTTGCTGATTATTTATTGACTTTATACCAATCACTTGCCTTTATAACATAGCCAGCAGTGAACATGAATTGAAAGTTGATCTGATGCCATTGCGCCGATAGTGTAGTTGGTGTGGTCCCTATATAATCCCTGTGCGCTTAAGTGATTGCGGGAGAAACTGGAGTATTAAAATCTCAGGAAATTGCAGTGGCAGTAAAACCAATTGCATAAAGCTCTTATCTGTCAGGCTTGAGTTCAGCTGCTCACAAAAAATATTTTATCTTCACATAACTGCTCCCAAACACACACAAAATACAGAGCTCTAACCATTTAGGTTACAGCATTGGTGTAATATGCTTTGCTGGATAACGAGTATCATTCTAAACATTGCAGCACTCTCTCTTCCAATGCTCCACTGTAAATAACAGAGTGAGTGCCTCGCGGCCATTTTCAAATCATGTACATTTAGCACAACTGAAGGGGATTAATGTTCTACCAGTCAGTGGGGTTTTTTCTGGTCGGCTAGGTATCTGACGCATGCTGAGCAATCAATGGTTTTGGTAACCCGACCTAAATAATAATAGTTACGAATGACATAATAATTCATTATGTATAGTAGAAATTGGAAATAATTCCGAACGTGCCAGATGTGCCAACTGTAATTAAATACTTTGTTACATTCCTATAGCAGTGTAGCTGTTCCACCCGTATCTCTGAAAAGGAAGCTGCATTCTGGCATCCGTACACTTTAGAATGAAGGATGCAATATTCTTTAGAGGAATACCTAACCATTATTATAGCAACAATAATAATAAAATTATAATAGTAATCTTTGCATTTGATAGAGACTCATCAAATTGTCATTGCTTCACAGGATTCACTGTCGAATATAGAGACTGTTTTGTAAGCAAACAAATTACTCGATTAGTGTTCAGAAATGAAAATAGCATCTAATTGTACATATGAAAGACCTAATCTGAATTCAACAATAAGTCAGGTGTCACTTATCTTTTGGCAATTGTACGCTTTTGGAATATGCTACTGAAATCCATTTTAATAGTAGATGTAAAGAATTTGAATTGCAAAAGGTATGTTGAAAACGTAACATTTAGATTTAAATAAAATATAAAGTGTGGGTGTTAACTTTTTTCCTGAGACTTTGATGGCAGCTCCTGTGGTTCTGTGAATACTGATAACATGAGCATAAATAAATCAAAGTCGAGAGAATATCTGCATGGCTGCCTCTCCTTGTGATTCTGATCTTTGCAGCTGTTCTTTTACAGAGCCACTGAAGTAAAACTGTAATGGCATTAGATTTTGATCTGTGAATGTACATATGCGCATGTGTCTAAAATGGCAGTTATTTGCTGCTTTGTGAAATGGCACGAGCTTGCTGGGGGCAGGAAAGAAATTCTTGACTTAAAGTTTGTATTCCAAAAGCTGCAAACTTTACATCTAGAACCCCATAGTCTGTATGATTTTATAAAACAAATACTGATTTTGTGAAATGAACCGAATACTTACCCACACAAAACTTGACATGCCTTCATCCCGTCCTAGTTAGTCTCCATTGTCTACCTGCCTCCCAGTGGATTGATTTGTTTTCAAGATCAAGCTCACAAAACCCTTTGTTCTTGCACCTCCCTGTTCTGCTAAACTCTTCTCAGCAAACACAGGCCCGTTGTCTGTTCCCCACTTCCTCTGTGCTATCGGTGGCAACTGAGCCTTCGGACACTGTGCCCCAGTGCTCTGAAAGTCCCTTCCTCAGCCCCTCCATCTTGCTCCTTCTGTCTTCAAATTACACAAGTTGATGAGGTTTTCTTGTAGTCAGTAGGCAATGCCCAGAACCCAGTCTGGTATTTTGCAGATTAATTTATACACTCGGAAACATTTAAAGTGGAGCAATTAGAGACAATATTTCAGTTTAAAGCTCTGTTTCATAATTTCCACCAATGGCAGCTAAACTAGGTGTTAAATTGGAGGCAATCCATGAGTATTACTATTTCAAGACGAAGCTCATTGTGAAATGCTGATGTGTTTGTTCTATTTCAGGCATTAGCAGCCAATACTATAGCAGGGTTTGCAGTGGCAGAGCCACAAGTCGCCATGTTCTGTGGGAAGCTGAACATGCACATCGACATTCAAACAGGAAAATGGGAACCCGATCCTCTAGGAATCAAAAGCTGCCTGGAAACCAAGGAAGAGGTTCTGCAGTATTGCCGAGAGGTGAGTCTAGGAATGGTTGGTGCTCAAACTGCATAGCAGTTGTGTTGGTTAGAGATGCAGCATAGTTGCATCTGCACTAGGGCTTCTCTTCTGATACTGATAGGTTCTGTTCATAGATTTTTTGCTGGGACTGGCAAGATACGCATGAGAAAAAATATTTAGCATTTTAGCAGATGTATGTCTCAGGCAGTTTTCGGAGAAAATGACTTTAGATATGGGACAAACCATTGGATTGGACTATAAACGAATATTAAATACAGAGGCTATTTATTTTTATGGAATGTGTAAATGATTAAAATTCCAATTAATGTCAAATTGAAGCTTTGTTGTTGTTTAAATGTTTTAGTAAATTTCACATTGATGCAAATGTATTTTTTATAATAATCCTTGCATTTGATATAGCGTCTTATTGTGTGGTTGAGACGTCTCAAAGTGCTTCACAGAATATACTGTAAAGTGGATTAACTATATTTTGTGAACTGATTTATCTTAGGTTTACCCAGACCTTCAAATCACTAATGTAGTGGAGGCGAACAAACCAATCAGCATCGACAACTGGTGCAAGAAAGGAAAGAAACGGTGTCAGGGTCACACCCATATTGTGGTTCCTGTGAAATGTCTGGGTAAGTACAAACCATAACTAACACAAAGGCAAGGAAGAGTGTGTTTTTTTTAATACTGTCCTCCCAACAAATAGTGATCAGCTTCAAAGAGAAATGCAACACTAAAGCTGTTTGCAGTTGGCAAACTGAATTTCAGTTCTATTCGTGGACTGTTGTGATGTGCTTTGTGCTTACTGTTGGGTTGTTATCTTTGTTCTATGGTTACATGATCTGGGCATCAAACTCCTGATATCATTTCATGATTTGACTTTAAAACAAAGCAGGCAAATATGTCATTTGCATCATTGAAACACACTGTGCGCGTTTCATAATGATTAGGTTACCTTCCCATTTTCAACCTAATCATTATGAAACGCACCCAGGATGTTTTATGGCATGTATGTCAGGATCACTTTAGTGTTCACAGTATTGATGACCGACTCCTATTAAAACTACCCTCAAAGCAAACCTACCCAAGTAATAATAATAATCCTTGCATTTGATGTAGCGCTTTCCATGTCTTCTAGACTTCTCAAAGTGCTTCACAGAAGTATAACCTGTAGTTTGTAAACACTGCATTGCCACGATGAAGCGGCAGTGTTCTATCAAATTATGAATCCCGAATATTGTAAAGAAAGATAAGTATACTTACTGGCGTCTGTCACACTTTTGGAGTGTTTTATACTTTAAAACTGCTAATTCAAGGTAGATGTTCATCTGCATTTGCTCAGCCACCACAAACAAATCAGCGCTACCATCCAATGAAGCCCAAAAAAAACTTTGTCCCTGTAATAGCTTTGCTCCATTGGGAGTCATCATCTTCAGTTGCTCTTCCCAGCCCTTGTCTGTACGTGACCTTGTTCTGAGTCAGACTGGAGTTCTTTATCTTCCATTGCTGGCAGCAATCCAAGTAACCCCAGCAATGCACAAGATTGGAAAAAATGATTGCAGTTTGTTTGGCCTTTCCTGATTTGTTTCCATACGCACATTTTTGGAGCTATTTTGAAGTGTAATTAGATTGTCTCGAACAATTTGTTTCCACTATGCTTTTACAGAACTTTTGTGAAAAAAAATTGTTTTCGGTAACATTTGCCTAAGGCCCAGTCTCGGATAGATTATAGACCCAGCGCCTTGGGATGTCCTCCCGACGTGAAAGGCGCTCTATAAATGGAATCTTGTTGTTGTTGTTTTCCAGTTGAATCTCCATTGGTTCTAGTCATTGCTGACACTGCAATAAGTTTTGAAGAGCTGTACTCCTTGAAGCATTATTTGTCAAATAGGGGAACAGGTTAACATTCTAGTACTTGATTGTGGATAAATCAATTCAGATGTCACTTCATGCTTCTGTTTGAACTCTGATCCCAAACTACTGCTTGGTATATTGCTAGTGTTGTGTGTTAGTGTTTGAAGGCTGTGGTATGAATCCCATTGCTTGTGGCTTAGGAAATGGGTTGAAAACTGTTGGATAATTTGAGATATTTCTTTTAACCGTTTGGTGATGGGTTCAGACATAGCAGAAATGCTCAGTATTGGCTTTTTTTGGAAGAGTTTTGAAGATTAGCGTTGAATCCTTTGGAGATTTGTTCGTTAAACCCATCAGCAGCAAATTGCCTTGAGTTAGCACCACTAAAGAGAATTTCAACCATTCTGGATGATTCTTCCCTCCCCCACCATAAAAAGGATTAGTACTAAAGTTTTGGAAGACCTAATTTCAAACTGGACTGACCCCAGGTGTGAGCTTTGTGATGTTCAATATTGTGTGGAGTGATTTTTTTCAGCTGACATCTCTTCACTGTATAGACCCTTTTTCATATTTACTAATAAATAGTAATAAAATCTGTCTGATTGACTTAAACAGTGGAAGTGATTTGGTCTCAATTTCACTTGGTTCATTTCAAGGATATTCTCCGCCATAGTTTCCCATTGAACTTGAGGCACAAAGATTGGATTAAGAGTTTAACCTTCTCTATTGACAGAATGTAACGATTTGTGAAATGGAAAAACCATTAGCCCTCTCAGTGACCTGTGAAATGAAGCGGCCATGTAGCTGTCTGATGTACAAGACTGGATGCGTTTACAAAAAGCTGCTGATGAGGCTGCTGTTATGAACGTCCAAAGTGCAGTATGCCATCTTGGCGTCCAGTCAGTATGAGTAAAAGAACTCAATCATAGAATCTTACAGCACAGAAGGAGGCTGTTCGGCCCATCGTGCTTGTGCCGGCTCTTTGAAAGAGCTATCCGTTTAGCCCCGCTCTTACAACAACAACTTGCACTTATATAGGACCCTGCACACAGGGTCTCAGAGTGCTTAACAGTGGCAGAGCCAGATTCCAAGGCCGGTGGGGGTGGGATGGATGGCTGTAAGCACAGTTGAAGAGCCCTGAACCCCAGAACCCTGTAAAAATTCTTGTCTCCCCTTTGGTTCTTTTGCCAATTATCTTAAATCTTTGTCCTGGTTTAACAACGCCTCCAACAATGCAACGCTCCCCCAGCACTGTATTGGAGTGTCATCTTAGACTGTGCGATTCCCAGTCCCAATGTTGGGCGAGAACACCTTTGAATGTTCTCCTGACATGAGAGGAGCTATGCAAATGAAATCTGTTGTTATTGAACCCACAACTTTCTAACTTGGAGGCGAGAGTGCTACCATTTAGCCATTCTAAGCAGCTATTTGGAGAATGTCCCAGTTGTGGTTGTAGTAGCTTTCTATTGGCTCACCAAAGCCTGGCTCAGTACATTCCATCCCCATTGAGTCCTCTGTGGGTGTTAGTGAATGCCACCTCCTGATTACAGGATTTGTATTGAATGTCATGGATTATTTTCAGTGAGAAACATACAGCGCCTGGCCTTTGCTGTGTTTGATTGTTGTGTTGATTTTCCAAAGTCAGTTTAAAGTGACTTGACTCATTTGTTGAAATGTAATGCTGTTTACAAAGATAGCTAAACTTGATTTCTTCAGCCACAGAGACACAGACCTCTGTCTGATTCAAGTTCTGTACAGAAGTACACTTTTGCCCTCAAATATAATACAGACTCATCCTATGCTGGTTACAGTCTAGTGACCAAAAGTAAATTAAACAAGGATCTGTCAAGTCATTTTATTGGTCTTCTCTGTAACCTTCAGTACTGGTAGCTCCTATTACGAGAAGGTGAAATGTACATAAGACGACTATCCACATATAATTCGTTTTCTTACCCATCTTTTTCTTAGTTTTACATTCATTATTCTGAAGCTATCAAAAGTCAACCATTATGCTTTGACCTGATTAGGTTAAAATAAATGTAAGCAAAAAATGTGTTTTAGACAAGCCACTTTGATCAGGTTTGCAAAGAGAGCAGAGCTCTAATTAACAACCAGAACTTTGGGAACATGCCAAATACTTTAGATTACAAGCTGAGTAGTCTAGGAGTTCTGCCTTTGAGAATGTGCTGGTGTTCTTTTGTGATTCAAGTTGGATTTCCATTTTGGCTTCCTCCCAGCAGTTTCACCTTCTTGTTTATTTCCATTTCCACGATCTTAACCTGGGCTGCAAGGGAACAGCACATCTATTTGTAATACAGTACTTGAAAGTTGTGGAGCCAATATTTTACATAGAATCTTAGTGTACATGCAAAGCCAAAGATCTCTACCTCAGTGACACAAAATGATACGTAAGAACTTTCTGGACAAAAGAAGACCAAAGTCCATCGAGTTCACCTTCCACCATCCTGGCAGCCACATGTTTCCCAAACTATATCCTGTATCCCAAGATAATAGGAACATACTCTTAAATAATGTGCTGGAGATTATAAACCCATGTACAGCTTTTGTAATCTCGTTGCTAAACTTTGTCTATCTCTTTGACAGTAGGTGAGTTTGTCAGCGATGTTCTACTGGTTCCAGAAAAATGCAGATTCTTCCACAAGGAGCAAATGAAGGAGTGCAAGAGTCACCAGCACTGGCAAACCGTTGCCAAGCAGGTAAAAGATTATGTTGTAGTTACAATGAGTACAATATACCTACCGGAGGTAATAGATTGTGAGAATTGTAATTAGAAAGGTTATGTGAAATTGTTTTGTGTACAAGCATAGGGTAAATGTTTTGATAAGGATCATTGTATGTAATAATAACTTGCATTTTCAAAATGAACTGTAATTACTGTGTGGACAAGCAAACATAAACGGGCATGTGTTTGAGCAAAGTCCTGCTAACAGCCAAGAGCAAAATAACCAGTTATTCCAGACGATGTTTACCAGGGTACAGTGAAACAAAAAGCTGTTATTGGATCTTTAACTTGCGTCATCCTAAACAGGCAGAAGGGAACGACAACAAATGACATTTGTATGGGGCCTTTCATGCTTGGAGGACGTTCAAAAGCGCTGGATAGTCAGGGATTTGGACTCGAGCAGGGAGTTGGGATCAGGAGTGGTGGAGAGTTGGGGTAGGAGGGAGACCGAAGGCGCAGTTGAAAAGGAGCGTCTTGAGGTGTGCCTTGAAGACATGAATTTGAATTCCGCTTAATGCCTCATCATTGAAAGCAGTATTTCTGACGCAGAGGCAAGGGCTACCAACCTGGTAGACACCAATTATAAGTACTGTTAAAAATATAGTCTGAAAACACTACACTGAATTGTTTTCAAATTCTGAATCTCCCCAAGCAAGTTACCAATGCAAATGTGATGTTTTCAACAAAATATGAAGTGTATTCAGCCTATACGTCTATTGGTTATGTGCTCTTAAGAGGAAGAATGGGTAGTCCTGTTGTCATTTGTTGTGATTTTGCTAGATTTGATGGTAAAATTCTCCATTGCATATTGTCCAAAATTTTGTGAGGAGGTACCGAGTGGCTGAGCTTTACAATGCTTGAATGCTGATGTCTGCTGCAGGAATAATTAAGTTGATTTATTTGAGTAAATTGTTTGTTTGCTGCTTTGATTAAAATTATGACCACTCACCTGAATAATCAACTTTATTGAGCATCATTACTTCAATAATTTAGTCAGACTTTGCTGCTATTTGTCGCAGTGATTTTTGACAGAGTTGTTGTGTCCAATTAAATCCATTTTCCATTGCTCTGTGTCAGGCCTGCATCGCTGAATCTATGATTCTCCACACCTATGGAATGTTACTTCCATGCGGGATTGACAGGTTCCGTGGCACTGAATACGTTTGTTGTCCTCAACATAAAATCGATGATATTAACTCAAACGAAGATGATTTTAAGGATGAAGATGATTTGGAGGAAACCTTTGCTAATGCAGGGTATGGCTTTACTCTGTTATAATGGCTTTTTGAAAAGAATATTGCAAGTTGAAGAGAACAGGACTGAAAGTAAGGGGGTTAAATTAATTAATAGTTGTTGCTGGTGACAAAACATATTAAATCGATTTTCACACTAGGAAGGTGGTAGGGAGGAGGGGGAATCTGGCAGCATCCCCATTCCTCATCACCATGCAGTGATTCCCTCCTGGAAGGTGTGTGTATGTGTTTATACATTGAGAATGAGATCAAGCTCAGCTGTGATGCCTCAAGGCATTGTCACGCCATTAAATAGCCTCTGGCTATTGTTCACGCGCGCGCGCGCACACACACAGAATGACCACTTGGGAAAGATACCAGAGAGCTGCTGATTCTAGTGAAATGGCAATCCCGTTTATAGTGCTATTTTCCAGAGGTTGAGGAACCACAAACGTTTCTAGTGATACTCCCATCAGTTTCTCTGTACAACCAAGCCTGAATCCGCCAAACAAACGTGATACATGTGAGGGAAGAGGTGGGAGAGAGATTGTAAAATTATTTAAGCTAGAATCTCTTCTATGCTGAAAAGACCATTCTAACCACTCTGCACTGTATTTGTTTAGCAAAGAGAAGTCCACTGAGGTAGAGGAAGAAGCTACAGTGGTGGAGGATGATGAAGATGATCTGGATTATGATTATGCTGATGAAGATGAAGAGTATGATGATGAAGATGAGGAGGAGGAAACCAGTGAGGAGAGGAGTCTCTACAGTAAAAATGTGGTTGATGATGTGAAAGGTAAGGGATGTATTAGGATCAGTAATAATCCTGGTGACTTGGTTGACTCTTCACTGTACATCAGCTGGTGATGTAAAATGAACATTTCTAAGAATACTTTCATTAACTCCAAAGTGTACTTATTATTATTTTCTGTCCAGATCTGCTTTGCACATTGGGGCCCTCCACTTCTACAGCAGATTTCCATTATGTTCTCCTCCTGTGCTTCTATCAGTTCAATTTTTCCTGTAAGAAATCTGAATGATAGATTTCAGAATGTTAACATACATGTACAAAATACTAGGGTTTATTACACCATTGTGAGTTTGATTTGAGACTTGATTGTAACTAACATGTTTATCTGAGCTCAAGAAGACCTTTGGACCATCTATAGGTTGTAATTGTCCACTCGACGTTGGTGATCTCTATGGCTATGGACCACTAACGGATCCAGACCATTCTGCCCCTCTCCACTAGAGTAAATGATGATAATATCTTGGGATACAGTGTATAGTTTGGGACATGATGTGTGCGTGCAACTACCAGGGTGGTGGAAGGCAAACTGGATGGACCCTTGGTCTTCTTTCGCCAAGCAAATTCTTATGTTCTTAAATGGGGTGGCTGTCAGCCATTGTGTAGGCGGCATCTCATGGTGGCGGTGTCATAGCTGCTTGGTTGAACAGTGAAGGCATCAGCTACAGAGACTGTAAGTATCAGTCTCTAAACTCTTTAATCTGCCCTGAGCTATTAGTGTAAATATAGAGCAGTTTTGTAGATCGAGTGTGCTACTCATTTCTACGAATGTGCTCAATCCTGTGAATTTGTAACTGATTTGAAGCCCTTGATATTAACATTGCGTTGTTTTCCTTCTTGTGAACAGTGACATTTACAATTGCATTGTATTTTTGTACCGATGGCAATGCATAAGAATTTAAAATGCTGCTTTTTTTATATATATATATCATATATAATAATATATATGTGTGTGCTTGTGTAGAAGGTTACTCCCAATTGCAGGGCGGATGTTTTAATGAAAGGAAATGTTGTTTTTGTACTTTGAAAGCATGTAGTGCAATACAATTTATATTTATATAGCGCCTTTCACATTTGGAGGACCTCTCAAAGCACTTGACACTGCTGGATGGGCACCCAAGCTGGGGTGGGAATCAGTCCCAGTATCAATCTGCCTCTAGTCACTTCTGATGTTCTGTCCAATCTCCTTCACACAGCTGTCTGCTCGCAGGAGGCCATGACTGGTCCCTGCCGGGCCATGATACCTCGCTGGTATTTCAACGCCAACAAGAAAAAGTGTGTCCGCTTCATCTACGGAGGTTGTGGAGGAAACAGGAACAATTTTGATTCTGAGGAATACTGTATGGCTGTGTGTAAACAAATGAGTAAGTCAGGTCCTCCGTAGTGAGCAGTCCTTGCTCACAAGTCTTGTATCTTGGCTAATCAGAAAATGAATCTGGGTTAGCCAAACCCAACATTTTTTTCTGATTCAGATAAGGATAATTCAATGCCTTATCTACTCTGAGCTTTGCTGTCACTGCTTTCCTGTAGATTGTCCTCCATTCTAGACCAGAATCCGCTGTTGATGATGTCTGTTTCTTAGATGATTTGTCACATTTCCCTCTGTGGTGGTACCTTTCTGTAGTTTATGTGCGCCTTGCTGGTGTGTTACTGTGTGTCCTGATTGACCATTCTCATTCAGAACCTTCCATGTGCCTTTGGTTTGAACTATGGTACTTTGTTTGTGGGGCAATGACTTGTAATGTTTTCTTATCAAAGGTTGTAAAGGTTGTAACTGTTCTGCATACTTTACCATTAACCACTCCAGATATGTGTAATGGTTAGCGTAACTCCCAGATGGTATCACCTTATATTATTTACAGTCACTGGCCAGAAATCAACAGTTGGCATTCCAGTCAGGCATTCATTTACAGGCCAACCCTGTTATTGCACCTTTTTTCTCCTCTTTCTCCCCCCCCCCCTCCCCAATTGAGTGTGGGATTGCTTATGGTAAACCTGGCTTCTTGTACTGACTAGCTGGGCTCACACATCTTAAAATATAGCTGACATATGAATCATTAAGTCGAAGCTGATATCACCTCCATGTTCCAGGATGCGCGCTATCCCTGAGAGAAGCGTGGCTAACATCACTTCCTGTGCATTGCTCACGCACAGAAAGCAACACTGACTTCACTTTGCAGTCATAAGCAGTGATTCGTATGAGCAGTATGCAGAAAGCAACATTAGCATTACTTTCTTGCGCATAACATGTGTCAGGTACAAGTGACAGGGGTGATGCAGTTGCCATTAGATATAACACAGGACCTGAGATGTTAGCCTCAGAAGGCTGCTTTATAATAGTGTTTTCCTGTGTAAAAAAATATGGAGCTTTCAATATCAAAGGATGCCTACAGGGGTGACAACCGTGACATTGGAGCTCAGCTCACTGCAAGCGTATTTTGTGCCGAATGCTTGCAGCTGCAGACATTGACCCAGTTACAGTCGTGCTGTTCTCAGCAGGTTCAAAACTGTTGCTGTGGTGTTGGATATTCCATAGGATGGGCTATGAAGACAAAAGTGGCACAGTCTCTCATTTTCCAATGAGTGATCCTCGAGGTAGAAAATATCGAGTTGTATTCCAGGTATCAAAGTGTAAATTTGAGGGTTATCACTAGAAATAAAATAGGAGCGGTTGGAAGATTTGCCTAGGTTGATTTTTAAGATCTGTCTTGGCCACTTCAATTTTAATTGACTCACGTCAGATTCTGGTTTCAAACATTGTGCTAAACATCACTGGATCCTTTTATAGAGATTCCTGTTTGCGTTAGCTTCTGTTATATGCCCACAGACGTGTGAAGCGTACTCGAAACTAAGAAAAAGAGCTTGACACATTGGTCTCGTATCCTGGAAGAGAGATCTAAGTCAACAATTTCACTTCTGTTTCAGCAAGAAGGGCTGTCCTGCTCGAAATGGGGCTTGGTATTGAGTTTAAGCAGATAAAATGCTCACAGCAGTTCAAGACAGTAGATTTAAGGATATGTCTCTCTCTCGCTCTTCATTGAAGCAATGTCAACAGTCTGGCTATCGTGATCTGTATTGAGGGAAATGAGATCTGTAAATCAGCTCATGTTGCTTTCCAAATGTTCTTTGCTGAATGTTTCTTATTTGACCCTGGAATATTCAATTCATAGACAGAGATGTCCCTTGGTAAAAAATCTTTTGGAAGAACCTTTTGAGAAAATCATTGATCTTTCTTCATCACGCACGTGAAACAGGCAGAACAGAATGTTTCTTTGGTTCCACGTAATGGATATGTGTTGCCCCTTGGTCAAGTCTCACTTTCACAGGTATACACAAAATGGCTGCTGTTCATCTGTGCCTCAAAGCAAGTTATTCTTTATACATAGATAACTGGTTCATAAGTCCACCTACTCAGGAAGAGGCAGCAGATAGTTTTCACTCAGATGTTTCTTGCTGCAGAGAGTTCTAAATTGAAACCTCCCTTTGTATTGCCAGATCTGAAGACTGGTGTCTTTCACAGAAAAATGCTACTTTAACTTGATAGACCCAGACACCTGTTTTTTCCAATAACCTTTGAAATCTAATCTAATATTAAAATTATCACCAAAGCTTCACAGCAGATATGATATTGGTGATTAGGAGAGAGTTTCTGGCATATGTATGCCTTTCTGGTTGGCTAGCTTCTCTGGGAATTTTATCTCAAAAGTGGTTGATAAAGAATCTAAACCAAAAATTGGATTTAATGGCCATTGCTGAATGGCTTGGTTAATAGCCATGTTTAACTGTACTTATAAAGTATGCACCATAGTTACAGATCCTTGCTTGAGAAGTTGAGTGAGTATTGGATTTCAAAATGATCTGAAATTAAAATTTGAGCGTAGTTAAATGAAATTTAATTACCCTACGTGTCAGTTTCTGAATACAGATGATTATGTAGCAATGAATGTCTGAAATTGATGGTGAAAATAACACATTGAGCTTTATTCAAAATCCCCATTGTTGGATGTTATTTTGATTGCACTGTTTTAATATTAAATCAAATATTTATGTAAAATATATTACATATTAATTTTTTTATCCATGAAAAAAGTTGATATTCTGGATCTAATACCTCACTGGGTATGTTTGTTTAGTCTGCTTGTTTTTCTTTCCACCTGTCTCTCTAGTCTCAAAGTATAATCAAAGTTAAATTTTTTGACCCTAAATTTTTCACAAAAGCTTATTAAATTATCTGACTGATAAAATGTGGGATCTCCTGCTAAAATAATGCTTGCTGGGTTCACATACTTGCTTTCTTTACCTCCTTCCTAAACGTCTATGAAATAAAATCAAAATGAGCTCACCCATCTCCAGAATTGAGTCCAAATCCCAGACTTTAAGGACTTTAAATTGAAATCTGTATAACTGGAAATTGCTTAATGGTTTGTCAGTCTCCATCGAAATCCAGAGACTCCAGTGTAAAGTTGAAGCCCCAGTGAAGTGCTGAAGGTGACTTTATTTTCTCTTTTCCAGTTCTCTCATCGTCTCACCCAACAGATGAGGTGGATGTGTATTTTGAGACGCCCGCAGATGAGAATGAGCATGCTCGATTTGCTAAGGCCAAGCAACAGTTGGACGTTCGCCACCGTGATCGCATGGATAAGGTGAGGGGTGTGTGTATGGAAATGGCTCAATTTTTAAGGAATCTTGCAAGAGCTTTGAATTCTGTTGGGGAAATAAGAATTAATTGTTCGATGTCGTGAAACTTTAAAAACACGCAATTGCAAAGTTCAGAATTTCAGAGGGAAAAGGAAATCTGGTGAAAGGCCTTAGAAATCCGTTTCCTGCCCTAAAATATCATGTAAATAGACATCGAAACATAAAGGTATTAAGATTATTATTGTGATAATTACACCTCAAAAACTTTTTCCAAAAATATCGTTAATGCAGCATATTTTTGCAATCAAATGTACTAAAAATATCTTATGAAAGTAAGTCTCTAAAGTTATGAACTACCATTTGCTTTCTCCCCAAATTAGGTGAGAGAAGAGTGGGAAGAAGCAGAAAGACAGGCAAAGAATCTGCCGAAAGCAGAACAACAGATGTTAGTTCAGGTACGTGCACCTACTCTTTTTCTATTCCTCCTCCTTGCTCCTTCCTTCCTTCCTCATCTTCAGATTGCACCTGAAGACCTTCCTCTTCGACTGTGCCTACGGTCACTACCCCCTCCCCAGCTCGGCGTCGTGTTCCACCACTGTCAAGCGCTGTGGGACACTACCTTGTGTGAGGGACGCTGTGTAAATGCAAGTCGTCGCCTTTGATTTAATCTGTCAGAAGCAAGATTATGACCAAAACCATCGTGTTCATGATCAGTGTGTTGGCAATCTGCCTTTCAATTATTGAGTTTCCATCCAAAGCATGTTTTGATGTTTACAGATGCCCACTGTCGACCACCTTACCACTCTTCAGAGAGTGATATCACTTAATTTCCAGACGACACGAATAACTGCTTAATCTATGTTTCGGACTTGATGGCAGGTGCTATCTTCACTGCAGGATATCAAAGGCCTGGTGAAATGCTTACAATTGAACCATCTTGTGTGAATCAAATTGCTTCCCTGTGTCACAACCAGCATAGNTTTTTATTATTATTATAGACTTCTAGCGATATAAAGAGAAGCAGAATGTGATCTTGCAACTCGAGTTGAGAATTTCAGACAAAATCAGAGAGGAAAGCTCTGGGATATCGCTGAACGCCTGCAGGCAGATTTGCAGCTTCTCTCTCAGAATGCTGTACTAGCGTGCAGCGATAAGTTTGAAAGTTCTTATAGAATATTACTTCAACAACAACAAGATTCCATTTATAAAGCGCCTTTCACGTCAGGAGGACGTCCCAAGGCGCTGCACAGTTGGGTCATGACCCGAGCAGGGGGGAAATGGTCAGGGTGAGGGGAGGGAGCGAGGAGGGGGAAATGGTCAGGGTGAGGGAAGGGAGGGAGCAAGGAGGGGGAAATGGTCAGGGTGAGGTGAGGGGAGGGAGGGAGCGAGGAGGGGGAAGAGAGTCGAGAGGGGAGCTGAAGGCACGGTCAAAGAGAACCGTGACCACCTTAGAACTTCAAGCAAGTTCTGAGGTGCTTGCTAGCAGCATAGAAGTGGAGGTTGATCTGTACAGGGTGCCATTCATGGCCTCTTGTCCTTCAGCACTTCAAGGCGATGGTGGAGTCTCTGGAGCAAGAAGCAGCCAGTGAGAAGCAGCGGTTGGTTGAGACTCATCTAGCTCGTGTTGAGGCCTTGCTCAATGATCGTCGCCGTGTTTCTTTGGAAAACTATCTCTCCGCGTTGCAGGCGAGCCCACCCCGTGTGAGTACTGGCACCAAATAAAACCAAAAGAACCTCGGTCGATAACCTGGTTGATTCTTTCTGTGTCTTTCAGTAAAAAAAAAGTTCAACTAGATGTACCCAGGAGAATGGTTAATTAACTTTCAAAATAGAGCATCTCAGTAACCACATTTAGTGTCTTCCTTCCGGTGAATCATGCAGTTATCAGACTTGTTTTCTGGAGAGAATTGCAGCTTGTCGGTTCACGTTAAGTATTTTATTCCAAGAACTCACAATTCCCCAGAGAAAGGACTTTGAAAAGTTAGCCTATGTCTGAGAAGGTTGTTGTGGTGACTCCCAATAGGCAGAGCTCATTGCCACCATTTACTAATGTGATTTCCAACAGCCACAAGATGAACATTACTATGGTTTCATATAATATAAGCGCTCTGAGACGCCACCCCACGTCAAATATGCTATATAAATGAAAATTGGTATTGTAACAGCAAATACTGGAAATGTACAGCAGGTCAGCCAGCACCTGGAATATATAGGTTATATCACGTTTGAGCCCCTCCCTCACAAGAACACTTTCAAATAATCTGACTGACCTAGCTTTCTCTCTGGCTGATGTATTTTCTACTTTTATTTTTTTTTAGAAATTAGAAATGTGAGTTTTTTTTTGTTTTAGCTCATGCTACAGTTGACTTCACTTCCAAATGTTTCAAACAATCTGTTGTGACTCATAATTCAACTTAAGAGATTTATCAATTTATATTCCACAAAAGTCAATGTCTCTCGCTATTTCCGTGGAATCCTGTAGCATAGTGGTCAGCTCACTTGCCTCACGAGCGAGAGGCCCCCCGGTTTGATTCCCGGGCAGGGCAAAATGTTGGACGTTATACCAAATATAAGGATTATTGTAATAATTATTATTCCTACACAGTCTCACCGTATCCTGCAAGCCCTGAAGCGCTACGTGCGTGCAGAACAGAAGGATCGTCAGCATACAATGCGTCATTACCAGCATGTGATGGCTGTGGATCCTGAGAAAGCAGCACAGATGAAGTCTCAGGTGAGAAGAATCAACAGCTGGATCACAGTTATCTTTTCTGAGAGAAACCTAAACATCTGTCTGTTTTTCATCAAAAAAAACTTTATCAAAGAAACAAAGACAGATAACTTGACAATTTAATATCTCTCTGAGGGAGTGGGAGGGGAGAGTCAGATCGTTAAATCAAGCTTCATTAAGTGAGTATCTTCTGGAGCCAGCTGTTGTTTACACTGTCCCTAGACATCATTCCATTTGAAATGTTTCAGGAATATATACCCCTTGCTCTGTTTTAAGTTGGGCAAAATATTTCTGGACTGGAAATGGTCACAATAGTGATTGTTTAAGGGCTGGTAAATTTATATGAATTTCTTGCTGAAGTGCAATCAACCCACATACTATTCCCGGTTTCCACATGCTGTCTATTTCTAATTACCAGCACCTTTATCAAAAGTCGCTCCTGTATTCAGAAGAAATGTTTTTAATCGTGGAAATTAATGCACAGGAGACCTTTATCGCTCCTAGTAATCCGTCATCATCAGTGATCTACAGGCCATGCTTATTGTTGTTATGTGGGGGGAATAAACAAATGTGAAAAGCTGAAACCCTCTTACTAGCCAAGTAGGCTACTGATTAAAATTGTGGTGAGTCTCTATTAACTCAAGTAAACGAGTGTTATCATGAGTTGAGCATGATTAACCCTATTTTCTAGGTGATGACTCACCTGCGTGTTATCGAAGAGCGGATGAACCAGAGCCTGTCACTGCTGTACAAGGTGCCATACATTGCTGAAGAAATCCAAGATGAAATTGGTTCGTAAAAGTCAAGTGACTATTGAGATGTTTGTAAATGCATTGCAGTCCTTGATCAAAAGTAACCATATAGACAAAGGATTAGAAGAATGAAGCATATTCTTAAACTGCAGACCACACGCACACAAGGGGCTGCCAAGGAGATGTGTGTTTATTGAAGTGAATATTTCAGCCAATATTTGGAAAGGTTTTTACTTTCAGGCAACACTTCAATTGGTATAAAACTGATCCGCTGCTTCCGAATTGGCCGCCTGTCACCCTGGCTTGTGTGAGAACTCCCATCTCTCCCGTGAGTAACGCATCAACACGCGAGCACTGAGCGTGCCTGCTCCTGAAGGCTAGCCTTGACCCGTGTGAGAAGCAGTCTGCCTCCCAATGGGCGGCGTGGCTTTCTGCCCAGTGTGAGAATTAATTTGCTTGCTAATGGATGTGCCTGGCTTAGCTGAAGGAAATGCATCAGAGAGTTTTAATGTTTGTGCATTTCTACGTGAGGAACACAATAAGCTAAAAGCTCTCCAAACCAAACTGGTAAGCTAAGCCAAGCCGGTTCATGCTTCATTCAGACATCCCCCACACGCTGCTGTTGTGAAGTCCTGTTGCCATTGAGACATCATTTAATAAGTTATTACTATTATTTCACAGTGATGAGATTCTCATTAGTATTAGAAATTGTCTTGGCTTAGACTCGTATGTTTCCCAAGCGTTCTCAGAAGCCTCAAAGTATCATGTGCACCCCTGTTGGCCAGGGAATTATGCCAAAACAGACAAAGGAAGAACATAACCTCCAAAGATAAAGATGCAATGAGCCATGTTGGACACCAAAAGAACAATCTCGTGTACAGAAAGATTGGAGATCTTGAGTGGATTTGATCCGATTTTCTTGGTTGCCTGCAGCTTGCACGTAATTGAGCAGTGTTGGTTTTGAGAGAGACTGATCAGTCTGTCAGGTTATTGTAAGGCTTAGCGCAGCTAGCTTTATCCCAGCCTAACGTGACCGTTTGAAATCTGTTTCTCCAGATGAACTCCTGCAGGAGCAGCGCACCGAGATGGATCAGTTCAGCACTCTCAGCTCCGAGAGCCAGAACTCCATCGAGACTGATTCTGAGGAGGCACCGTATTTTGAGGGCAAACCATTCCGACCTATTCAAGTGAAGACTTTCCCAGTGATCACTAGTGATGAAGGTAGGCATTGCTTGGGGGTCAAACGCTACAGGCAGCGATGATGATCAGCTTACCATTCTATTAATAGGTTGAGATCAATGAAGGCTAAATTGCACACAAAGAAACTGCCCTGTAAGAATTCCAGCTCCCTGCAGTGCAAATTTTTTTAGGCCTTCGTAATATTCCATTTCTCCTTTTTTTTTAATCTCCTCTTTCTTTCACAACCACACATACACCAGCCATGCATGAGCCTTCTATAGATGTAAAAAGGGTTTAATCACACAGACTTTGTTCTACTGTACATTTGTACACCAGGGAGCTTTGCCATTCTCCAGTCGACTCGTTTTTTAAAAATCTCTTCATGACAACATCACAGGTATATTTAAACAACCCAAGCTCTGCAAAACATCGACCAGCTAAATATTCTTTATTCATTTCCCTCAAGGTCTCAGGTAGGTTATTGCTAGTTCCCATAATAGATATAAAGAGACTTCAAGTCTTGAAAGCTGGAGTCCTTGGTGAACGCAGTGAGTAAACTCTGCTGCCTTTCTCTGCAACTTGACTTTTAAAATATTCTGTCAGAGGTAAGAGCCAAATGAAATTAGTTTCAGCAGTCTCCTCTAGAGAACAATGTAATATTCGTCAAGTTTGTAAATATGATTGGATCTGATTACCACTCACTCATGTCTGTAAGAATGAATATGCTTTTTAATCACTTTTCTCTCACTTGTTGATGTAAGGCTCTGGGACATAACGTAAAGACCTGCTCAGAGAACCTGGAACTTTTGATTTCCCTTTTTTAAAATTTCTTGCTCTTCATTATTTGATTTCTCTTAACTTCTTTGCTGCCAGGCACATTGCCGGACTCCTGGCCAACAGCTAAGAAAGGTTGGTTTAAAAACAAATTCCCAGCTGTCATCATATCTTCATACTCATCCCTTTCTCTCTCTGTCTGTCACTCTCTTACCTCAGACAGTTGCAGATCATTGTGTGTGTTCCTGCTAAATTCAGTAAGACTCCGCACAACTAGTCTTCAGCAAGCTGAATAGTTTTCCAGTCTGTGCTCTTTAGATGCTGCTAGTGCATACTTTGTGACCAGTGTGTAGTTAGTGCACTCGACTCGCAAGTGAGAAGACCTGGGTTTAATTTCCGGGCGGGGCGAAAACTTAGGCAAGTTTCCTTACACCGTACACCTCTATTTATCTAGCAGTAAGTAGGAATCCATTTGTTAGTCAATTGGTGGATTGGTTTCTGGGGGTAATAATCCCTCAAAAAAAGTGGTCGCTCAATCCACGACTGTTTGTCGGCTACTGCTGTGTACAGTTGGGTGCCGTGTTTTGCCCACAATATACAGTCAATCCACTTTACTTCTGGAAAGCACTTTAAGGCGTATCAATGACGTGATAAGTAAGGCGCTATATCACATGCAAGATTATTATTGTGTCTGCCCTGGTGGCTTTGGAAAGTGGCCAAGTTGCATTTCGTAACCTTTGAATCTGCCTTTCGTGGTGGCCTGATTCTAAAGTTCACAAATGCATGTGTGGTCGAATACCAATATTACTTTCCCTCTGCTGTTCACAATGTCTACAGTGTGCTGTTTATAGGAAGTACATTCTGAACATTGAACCACCACCTGTTCACAGTGGAAATGATGCAGTTGAGAATCCAAACATTCGGATTAGTTGGCCGACAGCTGTCCTGCATGCTGTAACGGTATCCAGTCCTAATTCTCAAATCCTCGATCCTGATCTCTGGATTTCACCATTAACTAATCCTACTGGAGTGTGGGTGTTTCATCCTAGCAGTGTAGACTGTGTAATGTTGATTCTGACTCCTTTTCTTACAGTATCGTGACCAGACTTGAGATGGATTAGGGCAGGAAAACATGCAATGCTATGACTCATCACAAAGGGTGGAGAGGCAGGGCAGGAAGGGGGCAGATAGTGTGAAACCTTTTGAGATTCTGGAATGTAAACATCGTATTATTCATCACTAGTTAAAGGCTTGTAAGATCACGTTTCCCTCCACGGATGTAGAAAAGGTGTAAACAGATTGGTTTCAATGTAAAAGATTGGTCCTGGGTGGGATAATAATAATCCTTGTATTGATGGGGAGCTTGAGAAAATTTTCCCGAAAAAATTTGTTGTGTGGTGACGGTGTTACTCTATGTTGGGCAGCAGGTGTTTACTCAGTTTTTTTAAGGGCAAGTAAAGGCAGTCAGGGCTGATCATCTTTCTCCTGCTCTCCAGAGGGCAGTGACTGTGTGGCACTTGACCCTCTCTGTATCGAGTTTCAATATTCAATGTTTGAAGGTTGAGTTGTCACTGCTTTGTACACACTGAGGAAAACATGGCAAATGCCAAGCCAGATTGTTAGTATGATATAAGGAGGGCATAGCCTGGCATGAATGAGGTTTGGGCCAGCGTGCGGGGTGCGCATATTAATTGCAGATTAATGGTAATATATTACAGCTAGAAATGCTCTGCACTGATGGCAGAAAGCTTGAGTAAAGCTCCTCAAATTGATCACAATGATATGTGTTAACCTGAGTTAGTGGTAGCAACTCCCGCCTCTGAATCAGAAGGTTCTGGGTTCGAGCCGCCACGTCAGAACTTGGAATCACATTGTCTAAGCTGATGCTCCAATGCAGTGCTGGAGGTGTGTTACATTGTCGGAGGTGTCATCATTCAGATGAGAGTTAAACTGAGGTTCCATCTGCATGTTCTGGTGGACGTTAAAGATCCATTGGTACTATTCAAAAAGAGACGGGAGTTTCTCCCGGTGTCCTACGTAGGGATATGGGAACAGGAGTAGGCCATTCAGCCCACCATTCTTTGAGTTTCCTGATACTATTGATCATATCTGAATTGTGAAAAGAATCATCTCCTTTAAAGTCAGAGGTGAGAGACAGTGACTTGATTCACCAAACTCCCACCACACAACATTCATATATCGGTTTAGAAAACATTGTGTTCCATTGAATGTTTTAGTAATTGTGTGTACGTCCTGTGTGTGCTTTTCCATCTAAACATAATGCAAAATGGAGTGTCACCTCAGCATTGCCAAGAGAATAACTGTGTGCTGTTCTCGACAGGTTCCGCAATGATCGATCCTGATGGCCTGATCCCTGATGGCATGGCAGTCAGCAGCGATGAGAAGAAGATTAACGAGAATGTGGTAGGTTGACGGTTGTTGAAATTGCTGAAAATTAAATTGTTGGCTTGGATTGACAGGGCATTTCTGAGGCATTAGAATTTTCGCGCTTCCAGCCTCTCCTTTGCCCTTTAGCCTTTCAGCGAGATGACATGATGACACCTGAGGTTTGAGTTTCTGACTTCAGGAGAAGTGAAAATCAATGTAAAGCGGTCACACAGAATGTGGTCACTGGGTACCAAGAAATCTCTGCATAGGACAAAGTGCTCCCTGATTTTCTTGTTGTGTAACTTGTCTTAACCTGCAATGTGTGCAATGCACCTATATTCACAGAACAATGTGGCAGCTCTCCAGGGGACCGGTCCAACTAGTTAGCTTGTATGTGCAACATTAGCTTCAATTTCTGATTCCCTTTTGTTTTCCAGGTGATTGATGAGACCCTTGATGTGAAGGAACTGATTTTCAATGCGGAGCGTGTCAGCGGGGTGGAGGATGACATGGTAGGCACAGGGGGCTCCTGCTGGGGGGGCTGGTTTGAGTTGGATTGGATCCAGAAGGTAGATTGTATCTTTCTGCACGATTACCACAGAACCTTTCTCATTATATAAAGAAATCTCTGCTTTGTGGAAGTTTAGCAGTGATAAGTACTCGGACTGAAACTGGTTTGGAGTTTGTGTCGCTCGATCGTTCAAGTGTAAGCTGAAGAAAAAAGGAGGAAATGTTCAGACGATCTACCTTACACTTAGTTTACTTTAAAAGATGTCACTATTTGGCTTCCCCAGCCCTGGTTTCTCCCCCAGTATTATTTTGGTACATATTAAGACTATGTATAACCTGATAAATCAAATCTGCGCCCCCACCGCCCCACCATGGCCAACGTCTGCAACGGTATACTGTCATTTTTAACTGGTTAAACTCCAGTAGTACTCCGCGCTCTGGGATCCGTAGACTTTGGCTCTTGCCAACCAGCACCTGAACTAAATGGGGAAAAGACACAGGCTCCAGAGGTTTGGATGGCCTGGAGCTTGTGGAGGGAGGGTGGAGCTGGGAAGACTGACGAGCAGAACAGGGTGTTGGAAACTTGGCTTGGGACAGACTTAGTGCATTACTCATCAAAGTGCACATAAATGACTGCCTTTAAAGTAGCTCTTTTCCCAAGTTCATATTTCTTTTTTTAGGTACGGTGTTAACTGAATTAGAAACCATTTCTGATGTCCATCTACTCTATTCTCTTTTTATTATCTTGGATGCATTCCATCTGGCCATCATGTCTTTTGCATAGTTTCCTGCTTTATAATTTAATTTTTTTTTAAAGACCATTCAATTACTGATCAGTTTTCCCCATGAGCTAACATTTATCCTGAGCACTGTATTTAGGACAAACACAGCCCTACAAGCGAATCGCAAAAAAAAAATATTGACTATTTAGCTATATACAAAGATTTATTTTTTTATACTCAGTCAAAGAATCAAGTCCCCAATCTCTGTTGTAAGATTTAATTTATCCTTTCTGAATTCTTATAAACAGGCTTTTCTTTTCCTATTCAATCTTCCTTCATAGACCACTTACTGAAAGCTTGTAAGCCTATTTTTTTCCTGCTGTGCTAAATATTGTTTATGGTGTTCAATTTGCAGCAACATTATATACGAGTGGAACCTTTTTGTCCCTGTATTCCTCTCCTCTGATATTTCCCAGTTCATCTCTTTCTCCCTGCGCTTTCGGGTTGAGGAAGGGGGAAACAATTGGTAGCAAGAGAGAGTTGTAAGAACCAATGCAGGTACCAGATGCAGTGGAGATTATACGTATGTTCCCTCGTGACTCCTATCTGGCTCTGTTCGCCCGCAGTGTGCACGGCTAAAGCTTTCTCTGTTTGTCCAGGATCCCGAGGGCGCTCTGAGAGACGACTTCAGCTTCAGCAGCAGTGCTCTAATTGGCCTGCTGGTGATTGCTGTTGCCATAGCCACAGTAATTGTCATCAGCCTGGTTATGCTACGGAAGAGGCAATATGGTACCATCAGCCATGGGATTGTGGAGGTAAGAGAAAGTGTGTGTGTGTGTGTGTGTCAGTACACTGTTGTTGAGCTTCCACGGTACTGGTTTGTATGCACAGAAGCCTATTGTCTCACTCGGGGTAAAATTTGCCTGAAACATTCCTTAATCCTAGCTCAAGGTGATGCCCTCCACAGTATTGGAAAGGAACAGGAGTAGGCCATTCAGCCCCTCGAGCCTGTTCCGCCATTCTATAAGATCATGGCTGATCTGTACCTCAACTCCAATTACTTGCCTTTACCCCATATCCCTTGATACCCTTACCTGATAAACATGGGAGTCTCTGCTGCTTCCCATGCTCACCAGGACTTGGGTTGAGATCAGTCATTATTGTACAAATATGGTGGGAGGGAGAGGGTGAAAATCCCGTTGGACTCACTTGGGCCAGAAGTTGAGAGGGTGGAGGGAGAGGGCAGGGGAGGAGAACTTGGGGAGATGTCAGGAGTAGAGTGAGGATTATTTAAAAGGTAGAACAAAAATCTTGAGCACAGTCCAGTGGGATGGAGGGGTGGGGGTTTAGGGAGCCAGTGGACGAGGATGATGAGTTGGACAAGTCTGGTTTTGTTAAGTAAAACTCTGTTTGATTGATTCCCAGGTTGATCCCATGCTGACCCCAGAAGAGCGCCATCTGAACAAGATGCAGAACCACGGGTATGAGAACCCGACTTACAAGTATCTGGAACAAATGCAGATCTAACTCTAAAGAGCTGAGGCCGGCTGATGCACGGAAAATCAATCAGCCAGCAAACTACTGACCTATAATGCTAGAAAGCTCCATCTTCACACACGTACACACACAGACACACACATACACACACACAACACATCTCCAGAACATAAACACTTACTACTGTAGATTCTAAGATTCCCATTTTTTTAAATGGGTGTGAAATGGTAATATACAATATATGATGTATAATCTTAGGATATTCTATTATCTGGTTACAAATATTTGATGAGAACAATAATGATCTAGCAGTTTCCTTTTTAAAGTCTTTTAAATCTGTTTTATTTTCTGTGCGTCACAAAAAGATCTATCTATAAATTGAGATTGTTGATTTCTATCTAATAGAGAGCTGTATATGAAGGGTATTTGTACTGATTTATGTAACAAACTTGCGGCATTTTCAGCTGTAAATCTGCATTTAAAATGGGTAACACTGTGATAGGCAGCTGAAACGGAGGTAATGATTCCATTTCTCATTGTGCGTCTGTCTGTCTGCTCTGCTTGTATATTCACATTGGGATCCAGGCATTTACTGAGGTTCTGGTAACCTCTGGCTTCTCTTCCCCCGCCCTCCCCTCACCCTGCACATTCCTTATTTGTTCTGTCAGAACTATGCACATTGGTTTCAGTCGTATTGCTGTGGTAGCTGTAATTTGCAGGAGTCCCAAGGGCAATCGCATCAATAAACACAACTACTACTTCCATAAACAAGGGCTTCTTCGTCATTTCCTGGGTATGGAGTGTGCGCGGTCAGAACTCCTGGGCCTTAAACATTCACCTTTCATCTCGGTTTCAGAGCCTCGACTTTCCGATGGGCTGAATAAATGAGTCTTATTGTTTCACTCACTCACATGTACTTAACTGAGAGAAATAGAATTCACAACATCCATTGTCCAGAGCAGCCACCGTATTAACATAGAAGTCTGATATAGAGAAATATATAGCTGCAAATCTCCCAATATTTAGCACATTAAAGAATGTTGAATGGGGCAAGTGGGGTGGGGGAGAAAATAAATGGTTCCAGTCTATAAATTTGGGAACCGGATTGATCTGCAAGATTTGTCAAATGTCTTACTAATCTTAAAGAAATCTGAAAGATGAGAGGTAAGTTTACCTACGTCCCCTTTATGTTGGCTCCTTTTTGGGAATGTACTTCATTACTAAAGTATTGCCAATAATGTGTTTTGTTGGCACAAACTAGATTATAATCTTTCTGTAAAAGCTCTTGACTGCGGGTCTCAAATATATTTGTTCGAGTTGCTTGATCAAGGTTTTATGTCGGGTACGTTTTTGTGCATTTCTTTGCTTCAGTGGATGGCTCAAGCTCTGCTGAGCTGACAAACCATCCCTTCCTATTTCCCTAAAGTGTTGGTATTTTTTCCACTGATGCAAACGTGTTTCACCTCTCAGAGAGCGACTCGGAAGTTACCAGTTTTTTTCTCTTAGCCCTTGAAGCAGTCAACCTGTTGCGGTGCAACAACTTGTGTTTATATAGCGCCCTTCACGCAGGGTAGCATCTTGAAGCTTCCCTTGTCTTTCAAGGCCCTTCTCGAGGCCTTCCTCTTTGACGGTGGCTTTGGTCATCTCCCTGCCTCCAACCCTTGGCTCCCAGCCTTCTAATCTCCATCTTGGGTGCGAACCCTTGACTGTCCAGTGCCTTGGGACGTCTCCTGAAAGGTGCTGCATAAATGCAGTTGCTGTACCCAGATGTCACACACGCCCTCTGGAATTCTGGTTGAAAGGTCGATTTGGTGAGGTGGAGTTCAGGTGGGGGATTGGGGTGGGGAGCGTAACGCATATTGGGTTGTGCACAATTGGCTGCCGCGTTTTGCCCACAAAATATACAGTCCATTCACATTAGTGTATTTTGCAAAGCGCTTTGAGACTTCTCAAAGACATGGTTAGGCACTATACCAAATGCAAGGATTATTATTTCCTTATTAAAGAATTCCTTTAGAAATGTTGTACATTAAAGCCCCGTACCCCCCATGTTTTTGATCTTTGTGGGAGACTCTGTGGTTCGGGCATAGGAACATAGCTGGTTGTGTTTTGGTTTCTCAACTTCCCTGGGGTTGGAGCCAGCTGTTGGCAATGCTGCTATCTCGGCAGTCTCCCAGGCTGTGTGGTGTGACACACTGAAAGAGTGAATGCTTCTTTTGTCAGTGGGGGAAAAACAAATCTAGGTCACACAAACAATTTGGCTTCATTTCAAACACTGGAATTCTACTTATTTTTTTCCGGAAGGATTTTGAGATACTTAATGAGGCACGACTCTGCCTCCTCTCTCTCTCATTGTTGTAGCAAATATCTAACTGCATATTGAATGCCTTACGGGTGGGTGGGGGGCGACGGAATTCTGAGCTGAATAGATGGAGAATATGAATAAATATCCGATAAATATATTTTATCCTTCCACAGCCTCGCCCTCACTCTTCCGCCCGGCCGCTCCCTCCACTCAGTGAACACCAGCCCACCTCCCTACTTGCCCCCGCTCGCAGGAATTCCCTCTTGAAGTCCCTCGTCCCCTCCCTTCCCACCTTAAAACCTATCATTTCAACCCTGCTTTCAGTCACGTTTTCTTTCCTCCTCCCCTCCAGCTTGGGTGCCCAGACAACTGTAAAACATTTTTGAGACGTCCTCCTGGCATGAAAGGCACTACGCAAATGCAAACTTGTAGAAAGTAAATGAGACTTACTGAAAAAATAACTACTTGCCTTTACATTACTCTTCACATAAGGTAAGCTCTCGGAGCCTGCAAACTGGCAGAGTTGGACACCAAGCAGGAGAGGGGTGGGGGTGGCATTATTATTGGCCTTATTGCCCCCTGAGCTTTGCCAATACTCCTGATTACTACCTTTCTCCTCTGCTAAAAGGTGAGCGAAGGTACAATGCCACTATTGAATAGCCTTCCGACACTCGTTGCGAAAGTTCACATGTGGCATTAGGCATTTGGTAATGGGGTCATTAGCATTCATGGGATCACAGCCCAGTTCTGCACTGAAGTGTCGAGACCGGACAATGAACTCAATGTGCCACACCCAGTGTGAGAGGAACAAGCTATGAGCACTGATAGCAATATGCATCAGAAGGATCATAGAATCTTACAGCATAAAAGGAGGCCATTTGGTCCATCGTGCATGTGCCAGCTCTTTGAAAGAGCCACCAACTCCCCCGCTCTTACCCCATAGCCATTTTTCCTATTTAAGCACCTATCCAAATCCCTTTTGAAAGCTATCAAACCTGCTTCCAATCTGATCTTCTGTAGGAGTATCAAATAGTAAATGGAATTGAGGTCTGACGAACGGTTATCAACTTGAAACGTTGACTCACTTTCCTCTCTCCATAGCTGCTGCCTGACCTGCTGAGTGTTCCCAGCGATCTCGTGTTTTTATTTTGGATTTCCAGCATCTGCCGTATTTTGCCTTTCGGAAAAAAAGTTAACTCAGAACAATACTTCAGGATGCACTGAGAAAATAGAACAAGAGGATACAGGTTTAGATTGCAAACAGCAATTCCAGAACCCAGGAAATTTATCATTACCCAGAGTGGAATTAGCGACTGGAACAGGTTACCGGGAAGTTGTGGTTGAGGTCGGTATATTGGGACTCATTTAAAAAAACAGCTTAATGCTTTGGTGGGAAGATGATTGGACAAGTATTCTGAAAGGATGAGATCAAATGGGCCAAAGGGACTTCTTATTCATCCAAACTAATCTTGTCATCGTGACTTTGAGCTCACAGTTGAGCCTGACACTACAGTGCAGTGCTGGGCGGAGCCTTTCACGTGAGACGTTAAACCAACTTGGGTATTGTGAGAGGATCTGGGAAGATTTGTTGGGTCACTGTGCTGTCTTAATTTCCTCTTTATTTAGCAATTAGAATTTACAGCTACAAATTCCTTAGTGCAAATATAAGACAAGTGGTTGGACTTGGGAGTGGTTTGTTTTTGGACAATGAAGAAGAGAATGATCCGTGCGGATACATTTTCTCTTAGTTCATCGGAGTGTGGGGCTCAGAGAAGACTTTCAGATGGAGAATTGTCCACAGCCTTGGGATGTCTTCCCGGTGTGAGCAGCATTATATAAATGTTATTTGTCGTTGGCTATGAGACTTGCTTCAATTGGAATCTCCTGGTCAAAACCGTTGCCAATTCTTGGTCAGCGAAGTTTCTGCCCCACTTCGTGTTCATCTTTTCTGGCTGCCTAGAGAAACAATCCGCATTTGCCAGTAATTATTGGGAACACTGGTGAGATTACAATATGTTAAGGTACTATTGGAACACCTCCATAAACTGCTTTGAGAATCAGCATTTCAGAGGAAATACTGTCCTCTGGTGACAGGTAACAGTACAACAGCATGAACGCAAAGGCACAGCTGAGAAGGTGGGTTTTTAGCCGCTTTTGGATACAGGTGGAGAGGGGTGAGAGTGAGGACTCAGGGGAGAGTGGTCCAGAGGGTGACAGCTGAACCACCAAAGGTGGTGGACACACAGCAAACCTGAGTCCGGAATGGAGAGGCCGAAGAGACAGTGAGGCTGGAGAAGACCAACAACAAATGACATTTACGCAGCACCTTTTATGTTGGGAGGATGTCCCAAGGCGGACAGTCGAGGATTTGCACCCGAGCTGGGGTTTGGGATCGGGAGGGTAGGAGCATGGCCAAAGGCACGATTGAAGAGGAGGGTCTTGAAGGGGGCGAGGTAGAGGAACTGGGATCGAGTTCCAAAAGGGTGGGGGCAGGAAGGCTGATGGTGGGGAGGGCAGAGAGTGGGACATGGAGCCCGCTTTGCGGAGTGGTCTGAATGGAGTTAGCAGGTCACAGAGGTAGGGAGTAGCACACAGGCAATTTACAAATACACTGTCAATTCATTTTACAGTATATTTTGTCAAGTGCTTTGAAATATCTCAACAACGTGATAAGGCACAATATCAAATGCAAGGATTATTATTAATTGTTGGTGGGTTAAAAAAACGGAATTGGTTGGGAGAGCGCCAGCGAGGGAGTGAGCAATAGGCGTCAATGAACTTGGTAAAGATCCTGGCACATTTAAATAAAATACATGCAGCAAAAATCTCGCTCGAAAAATCTTCTTCAATCAGGAAACCCACAGAGTCTCTCTCTCTCTCTCTCTCTCACTCACATCACTTTAAACCAACGTCAAACCTCAACGTTGTGGGGGCGGATTTCAGTTTGAAGTTTCACTTTGAGGTTTGCTTTGAAAAGTTTTCCCAAATTGTTGTAAGAATATATAAACTTTTCCAAAACTATATTTTTGTATAGCACCTTTCACGTCGGGAGGACGTCCCAAGGCGCTGGACAGTGTACAGCATTTCAGGGGCGGGAGAAGGGAGGGGAAGGGGGGTGACCAATGGCATGGTCGAAGAGGAGGGTTTTGAGGCGGGACTTGAAGGAGGCTAAGGAGGGGGTGAGGCGGAGTGACTGGGGGATGGAATTCCAGAGGTTGGGGGCAGAGTGGCTCTCCCGCCAATGGTGGGGCGGGTGGGTCAGGGGACGTGGAGCAGCCGGAGCCGGCTGAGCGGAGGGAGCGGGCGGGTTGGTAGGGGTTTAGGAGGTCACAGAGGTAGGGTGGGGCGAGGCCATGGAGGGCTTTGTAGGTGAGGACCAGGATCTTGAACTGGATCCTCTGCAGGATAGGGAGCCAATGGAGTCGGGCGAGAGTGGGGAAGATGGGGTCACGGAGTTTGGTGCGGGAGGGAGGACACGGGCTGCAGCCGGTGGACCTTCACTTCCCAAACAAAAAATAACTTTTCCAAAACTTGTAAAGCAAACAAATAACTCTTCTAACACACAAAAAAAAACACTTTCCCAACGTATCTAACACTAAAAATATCTTTTCCCAAACTTTCTAACGCACAAACAAAAACTCTTGCAATCTAATTTTCCATCAGTTTTTTTTTGTGATTTTTTAAAAAAATACAGTATATCTTGTTTCTTGGACATAGTAACTGTTTCTTCCCGAACTAAGTCGCTCCCAAGTGTTTTGGCCCTTTTTTTTTCTAGGGTTGGATTTGGTTCCCAAGTGTTGGGTGAAGGGAACACACACGGTCTCTGATTGGAGGCTGTACCTTTACAGGTAAGTTACTTTACTTCCTGTCACATGAAACTCCGTCACCTGTTTCATAGATACTCAGAACCCCACCCGTGAAGAGCCTGAAACTGGACAGAAAAGAGACACACAAGAGAGAGAGACACACACACACAGAGGGAGAGAGAGACACACACACACACACACAGAGGGAGAGACACACACAGAGAGAGGCAGAGAGACACACACACAGAGGGAGAGAGAGACACACAGAGAAACACAGAGAAAAGAAGAGGAAAACTCAGATCAGGGACTGGAGCTCAAGTTGCGTCCATCAGCTTCACGTCCATTCGCCACAATGCTCGGATCCAGAGCGACATTCGACACCAAGAGTGATGTGAGTATATATGTGGTGTTGCTGTGATCGTCGTCAGCCACTGCCTCCAATCCGCTTTTTTTTGGCTGTGGATATTTTTCTTGAAGTCACCTGTTTAAGAGCCCTAGTGACCAGGAAGTGTGTGTGTGTGAGTGTGAGTGTGGCAGCGCCCAGGCTGTTTACCACATTCTTTGGTGAAACTCCTTGGGTTTTTGGGGGAGAGGGATAAGGGAATGTTTTAGATCAGATCTGATCAGAGCACTATTTCTCTCTGAATTGTGTTCCTAATCTTTCTCTCTCTCTCTCTCTCGCCTCTCCTTGTTCTGTTCTTTTCCCCCCACTTGAAAAATTGTAATATGTGCTGGGTTAAGGTGTTGGTTAATCATAAGCCAAACTCTCAACGGTTTCTCCCGCCTTACGATTTATAGCCAAGTAACTTGTCTTTTACTGCTCCGCTATCAGTGGCTGCGCTCTCAGCCACCTCGCCCAGAAACTCTGGAGCACTCTCCCTCTATCCCTCCATCTTGCCCCTTCCTCCCTGAGCTTCAGGTCGCACCTGAAGGCCTTCCTCTTCGACTGCCTACAGTCACCCGCCTCCTCCCCCCAGCTTGGCTCTGCTAATGTCAAGCGCTCTGGGGCGCTACCCTACGTGAGGGGCGCTGGATAAATGCAAATTGCTTTCGTTGTTGCTCGATACCAGTGTTTCGGTTCCTGTTCTGAGACAGGTTCACATCTGGTGTGTTTGTCCGCACACCAGGGACGGAGAGAGAGAGAGAGAGAGAGGGTGGGGTGGCGGTGAGAGTGTGGACCTAATCACAGCAAACCCCGGTTGAAGCAGAACGCACTAACGTGTTTAAGAGGAAGCTTGATGCAGACACAAGGGAGAGGGGGAATGGAGAGGGGAGCAGACAGGGATGGATGGAATCTCTTGTGCAGTATAGACAATGGAATGGACGAGTTGGGCTAAATGGTCTGTTTTCACCGTCTTGTGTAATTGTACGTGCCCTGACACAGAGAGCGGGTGTGTAAGAGAGCGTGTCAGCGTGAGAGAGTGTGCGCACGTATATGACGGAATGGGTGAGTGTGAGAGAGTATGTGTGTCTGAAGGAGGAAGGAGATAGTAATAATGATGATAATAGTAATAATCCTTGCATTTGATATGGCACTTTACACGTCTTCTCGACGTCTCAAAGCGCTTCACCGAATAGATGGAAGAAAACAGACTAATTGTTGTTGATGTTCCAACGTTGGAGGAGAAAGCCGGTGGCATCAACAGGAAATGAAAATGTTCAGTTCTGAATGCAGTTGGCAGTTATTGAGGCTGAGACTATAATAACAGTAATAATAATAATAAATCCTTGCAGCACGTCATGTGGACACCTCAAGCCACTTCACAGGATGCACTTTAAAGTGTAGTGACTGTGTGTTTTGTAGAAAAAGTAGGTGATATTAGAACGGGAATTCGATTGGTAATTGTTGAAGAACAGATTATTAGGATATAATAATCTTCGTATTTGATGTAGCGCCTTATCATGTCCTCAAGATGTTTCAAAGCACTTCACAGGATATGCTGTAAAGTGATGTGACTGTATTTTGTGGGTGAAATGCAGCAGCCAATTGTTCATAGCAAATGTGCCACAAACAGTCGTGGATTGAGTGACCAAATTATTTATTAATTTATTTATTTTGGAAGGGATCATTACCCCCCAACTAACAACTAGGTTCCTACTTACTGCTCGGTAAACGGAGGGGTGTGTGTGAAGTAAGGAAACTTGGGAATTGAACCCCTTGCTTGCGAGGCAAGTGCTGAAATCACAAAGCTACAGGACTCTTTGAAGGTCATTCGGCCCATTGGGTCTGTGTTGGCCCCCTTTAAGAACAAAGCGTTCTTTTCCATTTCACTGCCTTGTCAGAGAGCAGAGTGAAAAATCCTAATTCCCGATCTGTCAGTGTTGAAATAATGTAGGTTTTGAGGAGAGTTTGAGGAACTTGTGGCATTGAATATGTTCTGAAATCGTAACCCTCATTCAAGACCATCTCCCTCTACCTCCTACCCCACACACCCAATCTCTTACCCTACTTCCCTGCTTGGGCTCCCACTCGATCTCTCTCTGAAGCACTTTGAGACGTCTCCCTACGCTAAAAGTGTAGTCTCAACGCAGTTGTTTTGCCTCTTATTGACCATCTACTTTCTGTTGCCGCTCTTTGCTTTAGGGAGTCAGACAATGACAGGGGTAGGAGGGCAAGGGTTCGATTTGGGGCACAGAGAGAGAGACAGGAGGTATGGCCCACAGTGGTGTGGGACATATGGCCCACAGTGTCAGAGGCCTGTGAGAGTGGGAGCAAGCCAAGCTGCAATGGCGACCACAACACTGCGAAGATTCAGCCAAGCCGTGAGTAGGAAACAAGAGTGACAGATTGTGACACTCTCAGTCAGGGTGGAGCAGACAGAGGCACAGAAGCCAAGAGCGAGTAAAGTCTCAATTGGTAAAGCACGAAGGAATGCTAAAGAAGGTGAGGAGTTCTACAGGTTGGACGTGCTGACTTGCAGGAGGGTGTGTAATTGGAGCCAATGTGTTTTGGAGCTGAAAGGGAGAGAAGTGTGAGATGTTTTCTGAAGACATTTGTGAGCTTTTCATTTAGGATAAACCTATAGTGTGCTACAGGATTAGAGTGTATGTAGGATCCTGTAGCTTATTGGTTCGCGTGCTCGCCGTGCAAGCAAGAGCACCCGGGTTTGATTCCCAGGCTAAGCGAAACCTTAGGCAAGTTTCCTTACTCCACATGCCTCTGTTTACCTAGCAATAAGCAGGAAACCGCTTGTTAGTCGGTAGGCAGATCACTTTTCCAGGGGTATAAGCCCTTTTTAATAATAATAATAATTTGGTCAATCAATCTAGAACTGTTTGGGGGCCACTGCTGTGTGCAATTGGCTTCCACGTTTCGTCCGCAGAATATACATTCAATTCACTTTTGCAGTATATTCTGTGAAGTGCTTTGAGACGTCTCGAAGATGTTATCAGTTGCTATATCTATCAAGTTCAAGGGTTATTATTCTTCTCAGTTTCCCCTCATCTTGTTCTGCTGACTCACCAGTTTCTCCTGTGCATGGAGATTTTTGCTGTGACGAAAGCTGTGAGCGAGCTATCGTTCTTGTTATTTCTGGATCGATGATTCACTGCTGTGACTTGAGCAGGAGCTGTTGCCTAAGACCAGTCTGTGGGAGGGAGGTTCTGACGAGCTCCATTTCACTGCAGCACAGCCACTTGGCAAACGTTGCAGCAACTGAAAGTCTCAGTGAACCCATCCTCGGGGAAACACAGTCCAGAGGGCCAGTGAACCTCTACTTAAAGTCTAGCCAGGAAATTGAGAGACAAGTCCATTCAACCGTGTTATAACACAGTCAACAACACCAAACTCCTATTATTATAATAATAATCCTTGCATTTGATGTAGTACCTTATCACGTCTTTGAGATGTTTTAAAGCGCTTCACAGGATGTGCTGAAAGTTTCAGTGACCTTGTGCTTTGTGGGCGAAACGCGGCAGCCAATTGCACACGGCGACGTCCCACAAACAGTGGTGGATTGAGTGACCACATTTTTTAAAAAAGAGTTTATTACCCCCTGGAAAGCGATCTGCCAATCGACTAACAACCTTTCCTATTCATCCTCACCCTCTCTATAAAGAGCGAGGGGTTGGGGTAGAAGCTGCTGGGAAGCGATCTGGAGTTCAAGAAACCAGATTTATTGGCACACACAACTGGGCAGCTCATTTTGGCTGCCAAGTGAATACAAACGACTGATATATAAAAAAAGATGTTTGTATCTACAGAAATCCACAGGGTTTTCAAGTGCAAATGTGCTTCCATGAGTTCACCGAGTTTCATTTTGTTCAGGTGGAGGTCAATGATCTTGTGGGGCTATTGGAAAAGAGAAGGGAGTTTCCCTCTCTCTTTCTCTCTCCTGTGTCCTGGCCAACAATCCCCACCCCCTACCTCAATAAAAATTGGTCACTCTCGCACACCATGGCTGTTTGTGGGACACTGCTGCCCACAAATTGGCTGTTGTGTTTCGCCCACAAAATAAACATTCACTTTTGGTGGTTGTGCTTTGGGTGTGCTGCCCTGGTGTGAGCTCTGTGCGGAGCCCGGCTGTGCTGCTGGGCTAACCACTAACCAGTGGGTTTAGCTCAGTTGCCGGGCTGGTTCTCGGTGCACGTCCACACAGGCCTGCGCGAGCAGTGCATACAATGGGCGACACGTTACATGTCTGTATGATTGTTCAAACCCTGACTGACTCTCTCTCTCACTCTCTCTCCCCCTCCCGGCCTCTACTTGCATTGTCACAGTTTGTCCCCCGTCTTGTCTTCCTACACTTGACACTCCACTCAAATACTGTGCAAAGCTCTGAAGTGTATCTCTCTCCCACTCACTCCACCACTCACCCCTTTCATCTCCAGGACCTTTACTCAAATACAGAGGAGTTTAGTCCCATCTCTGCTCCTCCTTCCACCCCCATCCCCTACCCCACGAGTCCCATCCAAGGCAACACCCAATTTTCTTGAGGAGGTTTATTTGTACTGGCACGGAATTCTCCTTGTTCCCTCGCTCGCTCCTTCCCTCCTTGTAGTTGCTTTCAGAAATTTCAGAACTATCTCCCTCAACCCCTCCGCCTTGCTCCCTTCTTCCCCATTTTCAGATCACGCCTGAAGACCCTCCTCTTTGATCGTGCTCACGGCCACCTCCCCCCACCCCACCCACCTCCCTCCGGCCTGACCGTGAAGCGTGAGGAGCAAGTTGTGTAAATGCAAGTTGTTGTTGTTTGATGACGGCTCCTGTTTGTGGGGTGTTTTGTGTGCAGGAGGTGAATGGCCTGGCCGAACAAGTGGAGTTCCTGCCAGCGAGTAACCAAAAGAAGCTGGAGAAGGATGGACCCAAGAGGATGTTGTTGATTGTGGGAGCCGTGATTACTGTGATTCTGTTGGTCGTGCTCATCCCGGTACTTGTTTGGCATTTCCATTGTAAGTGACTTTGTTTTGTTTTGGTCAGCCGGGTGTCTGACACACATCACTGTGCTTAAGAGTCTCCAAACCAAACTGAGAATTCTATGCATCCCACCTACACATGGAATGCCAGAGATAACTTGTTGGAATGTAAATTGGGAGGGACTCATCCTGTTTATTTAATTCCGTAAAGTATTAGACGTAGACTGGCAAGAGCCAAGGTTTGGGGAGAGCCCAGACTGAGCGTTGGGGTAACTGCTGAAGTCTAACCAGCTCAAACCACATAGCTTGCCATTGATGAGACTCGCCACTCCATGGCTTCATTCAAACTGAATTCTCTCCCCCTCCCTGCCCCAATTGGGAATCCAACTGCAGGACTCAGTCATTCACACTCTCGCTTCTGAGTCAGGAGGTTGTGGGTTCAAGACTTGGGGTCTTTGAGCTTACAACCGCAAGGATTATTATTATTATGATTGGTTGTTGACTGTGGCCGGGATGCTGACCTGCTCTGATCTCCGTCAGTTCGACCAGATACGCGAATCCAGATGCTGTATTCCGGGTCCATCAACATTACCAACAGGTCCTTCGCTGAAGACTTGGAAAACCCGGATTCGGAAGAGTTCATTGCTCTCGAGCACATCGTTCAGAAGATGGTGAGTTTTTCCCTTTTGTGTAAATAAGCAGGTTCTATATCGGGGAGAATCCTGCATTAGGAACATAAGATCAAGAGGAGGCCATTCAGCCTCTCGAGCCTGATCCACCATTCTACGAGATCATGGCTGATCTGTACCTGAACTCCAATTACCCGCCCTTACCCCATATCCCTTGATACCCTGACCTAACAAACATCTAATATCTGCCTTGGTCTTGAAAATGTGAATGGATCCACAGCCTTTTGGGGGAGGGAGAGAGAGAGTTTCAGATTTCTGCTAGCCTTTGTGTGTAAAACTGCTTCCTGATTTCACTCCTAAATGGCCTGGCTCTAATTTTAAGATGATGGCTCCCCCCACCTTGTTCTGGATGCCCCACCAGAGAAAATAGTTTCTCTGCAGCCACCCTATCGAATCCCTTTATCATTTAAAATGTTTTTTCAGAGGTGCCATCTCTGGATTCAAGGTGATGAGTAATTTGTTGTTGTTGTTGTGTACAGCAGTCGTTACGTTTCAAAATGTGCTTTTGGCGAAGGACTTTGAGATGTTTTGACACAATGATATATGACAAAAATATTTAAATGCTTTGATTGTTTTTTGAGGTGCACATTTATAGAAAGGTCAAAGTTTTGTTCCTAGTTGGATAGCAATGCTATATACGTGTTTTAACAAGTAGTTCCCGGCTTCGTCTTATCTTTACTACCCCAATAAGCAAGCTGCCCACAATGTTAGTTTAGAAACTGATTGCGACACTTCAGAATTTTTAGCAAGACTTTCGTATCGATCTGACTCACCTGATACTCATTTGAATAATAATAATAATACAGAACACAAAATACTGCAGATGCTGGAACACTGAAACAAAAACAGAGAGAGCTGAGAAAACTCAGCAGGTCAGGCAGCATCTGTGGAGAAAGGAAAGTGAGTCAACGTTTCGGGTCCACTACCCTTCGTCAGAACTCGAAGTTCATAGGTGCTGCCTGACTCAGCTCGGATGTCCCGAGGGCTGGAACAGGGCTGGAAGGGGGGAGGTTAGAAGACTATTTCAATTCTCTCTTTTATTTCCAGCTTCAAGACATCTTCCTGAATATGCCTAACGTGGGTCAGTTCTATGTGAATTGCACAGTCACTGCCTTCAGGTAATGTTGCCGTGAGCTGTTGAGTTGCGCGCGCTCTCTCCCTCTCTCTTCCCCTCTCTACGCTATTACTGTGTTTGCCGCTGTTCCCGTGTGTCGCCGATCCCGGCTGGGCGGAATTTCAGGAATGTCGTTAACGCAGGACACGAGATTAGGGAATCAATTGGGCCTTAAGGCCAGGTAATGAGATCTCGTGAGTTAGAGCGTGGGCTGGCACACGCAGTACACACGTGCACAACACACACAGCTGGGCCAGACTGGCTCTTTGGGAAAATGGAGAATTTTCCGATCGCCCCCAGGATTAGCTCCCGATGCTGCCCCCACACAGCCTAGCTCAGTAGATGCATTTCACGGCAACACAGTTTTTAAATGCACCGATGTTTTATATAATAATAATCCTTGCATTTCATATAGCGCCTAATCACGTCTCTCTCCCACCCCCCCCCCCCCCCTCTATCTCTCTCTCTCTCTCCCTCGCTCTCCCCCTGCAGTGAGGGCACCCCTCTCTATGCCTATTACTGGGCAGAGTTTAAGGTGCCCCCTGAGCACCGTGACGCCCTGGACATCGCTCTGTCCCACAAAGCGTCGCTGGCGAGAAGATGGAAGCACCTGCAAAAGGAAAACGTGCCTCAAATCGTTGAATTCACGGCTGCCAGTAAGTGTGCTGCCGCCTGGCTTCGTCCTGGCTGCCCGGGTGGGGGGGCGGTGTGGGGGCTGTGTCACTATGAACCCCAGGGATTTTCTGGTTTCACGTGTTTCTTTTCTCACGTCACCGTTTCTCTGTTTGTCCTTTCAGCTGCGGACCGTCGACTGGTGAAACCTCCTCGAGATCGTAAGTCCAGCAACTCTGCTCTCTCTCTCTGTCGCTCTCTTTCTCTCTCGTGCGCACACTTTTTCTCTCTGTCTCTCACTCTTTATCTCTTTCGTGTTCTCTATATTTCTTACTTTCTCTCTCTCGTTCTCCCTCTCTATCGCTCTTGCGTGCTCTCTCTCTCTCTCTCTCTCTCTCTAACCCTGACCCGCTCTGTGACAGATCACTGCTCGTTCTCGCTGCATGCAGCCCCCGGGAAGAACGGCACCTTCACATCGCCCGGGTTCCCCAACAGCCCGTACCCCCCCAACTCCCGCTGCCAGTGGGCCATCCGAGCCGACCCCGACTACATCCTGGAACTCACCTTCATCACCTTCAACTTGGAGAACGAGTGCAGCAACGACTTTGTGTCTGTGTACGATTCCCTCAGTCCCATCAAAAACCGGGAGATCACAGAGTGAGTACTGCACTGCTAATCCCCTTCGCACCCTCGTACCTCCCTCCTACCCCCACCTGCTCAGCCGCCGCCCACCCCCCCCCACCACCACTGCTGGTGTTTAATCATCTAAGATGCTGTCTGGCAAGCTCCACGCTGCTTGTCCACTGAGGACCAACGTGGGAGGATTCCCTGCCCCCAGTGTCCACCCTGCTTCTCCAAGGCCTACTGCTGACCCCATGTATTTGCACCCTCCAAATTCGGACTCACCAACAATAACAATCCTTGCCTTTGATAAAGCGCCTTTTATCACGTCGTTGAGACGTCACAAAGTGCACAATAATATATCGTAACGTGTAGCGACCGTGTATTTTGTGGAAATGCGGCAGCCGGTATCGCACGGCGATGTTCCAGGCTGTGTGTGTGTCTTCACCCCCCAACTGTGCGCGGTGCTGATAATAAGGAGCGTGTGTTGCAGGCTGTGTGGGACCTACTCACCCACCACTGAGCGGAGGCTGATCTCCTCCCGGAACGTGCTGCTGGTTATCCTGATCACTGACGACGAGGCCAATTTCCCGGGATTTAAAGCCGAGTTCAGACAGATTCGACCCAAAAGTAAGACATTTTTTCCACCAGGGTTTCCCCACCGTTCACCACCACCCTGGCTCTTCACCACCACACCCCCCCCCCCACCCCACAAACACACACACATATATTCCCACAGGTACACACTTGACTCTTAAACACACAACTCTAGACACACTCCCCCCCCCCCCCTCCCACCCCGTCCACACACACACAAATGATAATTATCAGTGAACCTTGCCGACCTTTTTGATCAGTGACAACGGGTTTGTTTACAGAGTGCGGAGGGGTTCTGGAGGAATCTGGCAAATTTTTCTCCCCCTATTACCCGGCGTTGTACCCAGCTCGGAGCGACTGCACCTGGACCCTCAAGGTGAGAGCATAGCCCAGAGCCTCGCAAAGCAATGTGATCAAACTTGTGTCTGCAACACAGGCGCTGAATTATATTCCGTTTACTAAACCCACAGACAATCGGAAGCCTGGTGTGGGAACGTGTCCATGTGTGAGTGCATATCTGTGTGTGAGTGCGATGCCTATGTGTGCCTATGTGCACACGTGTGTGTGTGCGATGCCTGTGTTGTGTGCGATGCCTGTGTCAGTATTTGGCTCCAGCCTGTAGTTGCTTCTGATGTCTGACGTCAGGGCCTCTCTGTGCTCAGGTACCCACCTCCATGCGGGTGAAGTTGGAATTCAAGGCGTTCCTCCTACAGGATGCAACTAAGGAAGGCATGTGTCTGGACTATGTGGAGGTGAACGGACGGAGGTGAGGAGGCAGGTTGTAGCACACACTGGGATGTTTGCATTTAATATAGCGCCTTATTATGTTGTTGAGCCCATCTCTATGCGCTTCGCATTATTTGCTGTGGAGTTGACCGTGCATTTTGTAGACAAACGTGGCAGCCGGTTTGCGCACAGCAATGTCCCCAAGAACAGCTGTGAAGTGAGCGACCAATTTGATCTGGAGAATTGTTGGCGAAGATATTGGGAGAGAGAAACTCCCTTCTCTTTTAGTGCTTCCTGATTTCACTTCTAAATGGCCTAGCTCTAATTGTAAGATGATGGCCGTCACATGTTCTGGATTCCCCCACCAGAGGAGTGCGGAGCCAGGAGAATGGGTGAGCACAGTGTCTGGTCCAGGGTGGGGGCTTGGAAATGGTGGGACAAGAGGGTGGGCCTGAGCCACGTGGTATAACCTGTGCTGGGCAGTCCTTGTGTGTGAGATTCTTGGCTGAATCGCTGTGTGATGTTTTTTTCAGGAAGTGTGGTGAGAAGAGAACTTTTGTGGAACTCAGTAACAGTAAAGAAATGACTGTCAGGTTCCATTCAGACGATTCAGACACAGACAGTGGGTTTGAGGCTGAGTTCACACCATACGATGCTGGGAATCGTGAGTATCTTTATTATAGCACATGCTCCTGTCTCTAACCCTGACCTGGGAGTGTGGATGGACAGTGAAGAGGCTTTACTGTGTTTCTGACCCTGACCTGGGAGGTTGGACGGACAGTGTGGAGGGAGCTTTACTCTTGTCTCTAACCCTGACCTGGGAGTGTGTTTAGTTTGAGGATTTTGTGTCTCATGTTGATGAAATTCCCCCTAAATGACTGAGGAAAGATTCTCTTGATTCGAACCTGCAGATTGGGTGCAACCCTTGACTGTCCAGCAACTTGGGACATCCTCCCAACATGAAAGGTGCTGAGTAAATGTAATATGTTGTTGTTTGTTGTTGCTGTTTCCAGATTAGTGGTGGAGCTTGATCGGGTGTAACTCTCTCTCTCTGTCTCTCTCACTCGGCAGCCTGTCCTGACCAATTTGCCTGCACCAGCGGCCGGTGTATTGACGAGACTCTCCGGTGTGATGGCTGGAACGACTGTGGAGACAACTTCGATGAAATGCACTGCAGTGAGTCAGAGGGACCAATGGATATTCAATAGTTTGCAATACCCACCAGGACAGATAGAGGGCGCCACACAGGCCTGGGCAGATAAAGGGTATCACATCCTATGAGATAGAGATTCCTGCCCAGGCTTTGAGGGGGACGGGTGGGGGTAGACTTTAATCTCAAATAAGTACAGTATATTGTTGAGTGGCTGGATTGACGAGGGCCCGAGCTTCTAATTCAACCTCAGTTGTGTGTGTCTTTGGGTGTGCGAATGGAGGGAACACGTTACGTTGGGCTGTGTTGCGTTGGGTTAAGTTGTGCTCTGTTTCTTCCCCACCCCCCCCCCCCCCCAACACAGAGTGTAAGGAAGACCAGTTCAAGTGTGCCAACGGGCTGTGTAAATCCATCTTCTGGCAGTGCGATGGGATGAATGACTGTGAAGACAACAGCGATGAGAAGATGTGCGGTGAGTCCGGGCTTTCACCCCACTGGGTCCCTCCTGGACATTTGAGACGTCCTCCTGATGTGAAAGGCACAGACGCAGGCTGAGCTTAGTATAATGATCCCTTGTTGTTACCGCCCCTCTGCTGATAACAAACTCTTCATCGAGACCCGTTGTTTCCTATTGATTCTCACCCCAATCCAGCGATCAGTGAGGCACTGCCGCCTCTTGACTGTAGATGGAACAATCTGTAATTGATTCAAAATAGCACTGAATAGATTTTGAACGCAGCTGTTTTGTATTGAGGATAAAATGTGTATTGCGTTACTAATGCTACTGAATCGACTTTCACTTCCTAACATTTACTTCTGCCTTGTCTGACCACACCCCACTCTCCCCCTGGCTCAAGTACCCACCCCCCCCACCCACCCACACTCTGTAACCGTATCTCACTGTTCACTCACTAATCTAGCTGCCTCTTTGACAAAAGTATTTTGGTCTGAAAATGGAATGCAAAATTTCTGGATTGTGCACTTTGTGCTGATTCTATTGCTAGTGAGTCCCTCCCCTCCTCTTCACTCCACTCTGGTGGGAGGGTGTGGTCTCTGTGCGCATTTCATTTCATATCGAAACACGTGGATATCCATGTGGGATACCTGAAATTCTCATTCTGGTTTGGATGCTTTTAAATACAGCAATGGGTTTCTTTTGCATGTGTCAGACTAAAAGAAGCTCGTGGGTTCAAACTTCACATGGACTCTTTTAACTCACAGTCCAGGCTGACAGGCCAGTGCATTGCTGGGGGGAGCACCACACTGCCATGTCAACTTTAACAGGGCATAGACAGGACATCCTGGTGCAGCTTTGGAACTCTCTTCCACTAATCCCACCACCTTGTCCCCTCCTTCCTCTCTTTTAGATCACGACTGAAGACCTTCAACTTCCGCCGTGCTTACGGTCACCGCACCCCCCCCAACCCTCCCCCGGCTCGGTGCCAGGCTCCGTTAAGCATTTTGTAATGTACACAGCATGAAGGGCGCTGTGTACATTACAAATTGTTGTTGTTGACGTGGCACTATTGGAAAAGAGAAGGGAGTTTCTCTTCTATAAACGTCACTCACTTTATGGCTAGTTGTAGGAAGTCGCTGTGTGAAAATTGACTGCTGCATTGCCCTACAAAACATAGTCACTAGACTTTACAGTAAATCCAGTGAAGCTCTTCAAGATGTCTTGACAACGTGATACGGTTTTTGTATCAAATACAAGGATGAGCATGATGATGATGATGATGTTGATGCTGGTGATGATGATTATTAATAATTATGCCTCCAGACTGTGACGCCGATGAAATGAAATGTAACAATGGCCGATGTTACTCGAAGGCCATGAAATGTGACGGCAACGATGACTGTGAGGACGGCACGGATGAAGCTGAGTGCGATGAAGGTGAGGCCCGTTTATGTGCCTTGAGCGTCCAGTGGGGCAGCGAACACCAGCACAGACACGATGGGAAGTGAATGACTGATTGATGTCTCTGCCTCTCATAGTACTCAAGGTGATCTGCACCGATTACACCTACAAGTGTAAGAATGGCAAGTGCATCTCGAAGAAGAATCCAGAATGTGACGGAGAGAAGGATTGTGCAGACGGATCTGATGAGGTGAACTGCGGTGAGTTGGGATTTTTATAATAATGATTTGGTCACTTCAATCCACCACCTTTTGTGAGACGTCGCTGTGCGCAATTGGCTGCCGCGTTTCGCCCACAAAGTACACAGTCACTGCACTTCGCAGTATATTCTGTGAAGCACTTTGAGACGTCTCGATGACATAAGGCCCTATAATCAAATGGAAGGATTATTATTATAATAACAACCCCCAGCTCGGATCAAATGCTTGACTGTCCAGCCCCTTGGGGCGTCCTCCTAATGTGAAAGGCGCTGTGTATGTAATCAAATTTTCTGCTGTTCTTGATGATGACTGTGATTTGGAGAGTATGAGTGTGAAAGTAAACGGCTGCTTTTATTCCCAGACTGCGGGATCCGCCCCTTCAAGCACTCGCGGATTGTGGGTGGTGTGGATGCTCAGGTGGGTGAGTGGCCCTGGCAGGTCAGCCTACACATCAAGCAGTTTGGGCACGTGTGCGGAGCCTCTGTCATCTCCAACAATTGGTTGGTCTCAGCCGCTCATTGCTTCCAAGATGAATCGAAAATAAAGTAAGTGTTCGGAGATCACCGTGCTGCCTACAACAACAACAATTCGCAATTTGTATAGAAGCCTTCACGTGGGGTAGTGTCTCGGAGCGCTTGCCGGTGTCAGAGCATGGCGCCGAGCCAGGGGGAGAGGGGAGGGCGGAGGTGACCGTAAGCACGATCAAAAAGGAAGGTCTTTAGGCAGGGTTTGAAAGTGGGGAGGGAGAGAGAGGGAGGGGGCAAGACGGAGGGATTGAGGGAGAGAGTTTAGGGGTCACACACCGCCTGTAAAGCGCACTGGGACGCTACCTTGTGTGAGGGGCGCTATATAAATCCAAGTTGTTGTTGATGTTGTGGGTGGGTCGGTGTGTGGAGTGGGGATTGGGGGGGGGGGGGGGGGTTTGGGGGAGGGAGCAGTGTCGTGAGAATTTCTCACCTATAAAGTGAAGGTAAAACTAGCCCCAATTGTCTCACGCTTCTTTGACAAATGTGTGATGATGATTTCTTTTTTTACTTGCAGCACAGAGTGGGATCCATTATTGACTCTAACCCACGTTAACATTTCCTTTTCTTGTGTTTAGGTATTCGAACCCTGGTATCTGGAAAGTGTTTCTCGGGCTACACACTCAGTTTAAGGTGGGCACCATGGTCAAGGAGAGAAAGGTCAAGCGGATAATCACTCATGAATCCTACAACCAGTACACATTCAACAACGACATTGCTCTGTTGGAGCTGGACAGCTCGGTTCCCTTCTCCAGTGTCATTCGGCCCATCTGCCTCCCCGACCAAACTCACCGCTTCCCTGTGGGGAAAGCTACCTGGGTGTCAGGCTGGGGAGCTAGGGCGGAAAATGGTGAGTGTGAAGCCCAGGAAGAAGAAGCTGGTGTGTGTGTGTGTGTGTGTGTGTGTTTTGCTCAGTCAGTAGCATTCCTCCGACTGAGGACTTTCTGGTTCTGTTTACAGTGGGTGGATGAGACGTCTTCGAGACGTCTCAAAGCGCTTCACAGGATAGACTGTAAAGCGAATTGACTGTGTATTTTATGGGCGGAACTCAGCGGCCAATTGCGCACAGCAGCGTCCCCACAAACAGCGGCGGATTGAAGTGTTGGAGACTGTTGGATGTTAATGTGGCCATGTTTTGTTCGAATGAATTTTTTCAGCAAACTCGCTACTCCTTTCTCCTTGTTGATCTTTTTTCTTTCTCGATCTCTCTCTCTCTCACTGATTTCTCTCTCTCTCTCCTCATTGATTTTGCTCTGATTACTCCTCTCCAGATGTAGCGTCGTCAGTTTTACAGAAAGCCGAGCTGAGAATACTCAACAGCACCACTTGCAATCGCCTGCTGAGCAGTACAGTGACGTCAAAAATGATATGTGCCGGTTACCTGAGTGGAGGCATCGATGCCTGTCAGGTAGCGTGGCATTATTTACCTTCTTTACTACATACACAGCTTCTCAGCAGTGCTATCGTACAAGGAATTGCGCACAGCAACGCCTACAAACTGTCGTGAATTGAGTGACAACTTATTATTAATTTTTAGTTTGATTTGAACGCCTTATCGCGTTGGGAGCACGTCTCGAAGTGCTCGACCAGATTCCCCGTAAAGTGGTGGCGACTGCGTGTCTTTGGTTGGCCTTCGGGATGATACATTGCTCATTTGGTGGCTTCTGTTCTTTTTAGGGAGACTCTGGAGGGCCCATGTCCTTTGTGGGGAGCAAGGGGAAGGTTTTCCTGGCTGGAATCGTCAGCTGGGGAGATGGATGTGCAAGGAGAAACAAGCCCGGAGTCTATACACGCACGACAAAATTCCGGAAGTGGATCAAAGACAAATCTAGCGTTTAACTCCCAGTGTGTGCCAAGCCACCTACAAGAAACATTGGTCTGACCTTGTGATGTCAGGAATTCTCACCTACCCTAAAAACAGACTGAAACAACTGAACTCTGGGATTAGTTTTATTGCATATCGTCAACCACGTGTTCCAGTTTCTGGACCTGAGATATGTTTTCTCACCTTGTAGATAATGTTAGTGGCGCCCGCCACACTTTTTACCCCCACCACACCACTCCTCGCGCCCCACCCCCACACACACACAAACACAACACACTCCCATTGAGTCAAATCATCAAAGAGCTCTCATCTGTGGGACACTTGATGAGCAGATGAATCGTTCGTTCCCACAAGGATCCTCCGAGCGTTTGCGAGCGAGCGCAGACTGTTGGGAATAATCGATGGAGCGAGTCAGGATTCCACACCTCCCAGGAAACCGTGCCGTACATACAAGGAGACCCTGTGTCCTCTGTAGGGATTGGAGCGACGCTGAGCTGAGGGGAGAAACGTGTCCACAGATTGGTGACGTGAGGCTGCTTGTTGGTTTGGATCCGGGTTAGCATCTCAGCAGTAATATCTCTATTCAAGTCCGTTCCTGCTTCCGTCCGACTCGGAAAGCTTCCCAAAGCTGAACTCACTTCCACTTGAAGCACTTTGAGACGTCTCAACGATGTGATAAGTCGCTGAATCAAATGCAAGGAGATCAATTGGAGCCGGAGACCTGGAGGCTTGGAATCTTCAGCTTACCTCTCTTCCTTTTTCTGGCTGGTACGGCCTGCGGCCATCGTCTCCCCCGATCACCGTGGAAACAGGGATATTTGGGGAAGTCGGGAATGACGGTCACCCGGGACTGGCTTTCCCGTACTTTGGTGAAACGCTCTGGTTCTTGCTCATGTCCCTGATTGACTGGCACAGTCGCACCTCATGTGGAATCCAACTATGACTGAATTCCGACCAGGAACAATGAGGTCAGGCGGGCAGGAACGTACCAGGGAACAAGGTTGGGAAGAAGGTTGGCAGCCGATCACGTGGGCGGGAGAGGGACCTGGCTGACTGGTTTGGGGAGTTCCTGGGCAAAATAATTAAAACAGGGCGAAGTTCTTGAAATAGGTAATTAAGTCCCAAACCTTCAGCTCTGAACAGTGTCCGGGTCAGCTCACTCCCGGAGTGTTTTAGATTGTTTTTAAAAAGATGTCTGTGATCATCATACAAGGTTTTGTGGTTAGTGCGTGTGTGTGTGGATGTGTGTGTGTGATAGAGGGTGAGTGTGCAACCAAGTGTATGTATGAGTAAGTGTAAGTGTGTAAGCGCTCTGGGACGCTACCCTGCGTGAGTGGTGCTATATAAATGCAAGTTGTGGTTATAAGATAGGATATGAGAGAGAGAGAGAGAAAGTGTGAGTGTGCGAACACACAAGGACACCCGTAGATGTGATCAGTGAGTGACGCAGATCCATTGATGTTGCAACTTCTTAAATATCCCACGACAAGCGTTCTGCGACCTCCTGCCAAGGTTCACAAACTAAAAAAAAGTTGTCTTATCTTTCCCCTTTTTTGGGCTGCAATGAATTTGAGCTTCATGTGAAACCAATCAACCACGATTCCTCTCGTTATCCCAAATGCCCTTCGTCACACGTGTCCATCACATGGTTTTAATGGCTTATTGATCGCGGTTATATACTTGGGGTTTATTTCTTTATTCAGAAGTGTGTGCTTGTGTTTTTTAAGTACAAATAAATGTTCTTGAATTGTCTTAAAGACTAATCCACGTGTCTCCATTATTTGAAAATTGCCTCCTGACATTTCTGTACCAGAGGAAAGCTTTGAGTTTCTCTCCCACTGTCCTGGCCAGCAATCCCCCAAAATAAAATCGGTCGCTCACTTCATCTGCTGTTTGTGGAGATGTTGCTGTTCACAAATTGGCTGCCGCGTTCGCCTACAAAACACAGTCACCGCACTTATCAGAAGTATATCCTGTGAAGCGCTTTGAGACATCTTGAAAGGTGCTGAATCAAGCGTAAGGAATGATTATTTTTATTTTAAGGAAAGGTTGCAAATGTTTTAAGGTCATCCTGGCCTGTCCTGAGTATGTCTGGTATTTACAATTGACCATAAATGTTTCCAAATGAGATGTATCGTGCTGCATTTGTTTTATTCCCTTTGGTTTGAAATCTCCTCTGACCATTTGCATTCCTCGGACCCGCATTCTGTGTAACGCTGTGTTCTGCTCAGCGCTTCTAATTGCCTGTGTTTATTTCAGAACCTTCAATCAGATTGCTTGAACCGCTATTTATCCAAGTCACTTGTCAACGTAACAATAACTGCGTTTGCCAGGAATCCAGACCGAGGATGTTTGTTCTCAGTATGGTTCCTCGGTCAAGTGACCGTTCTCTCGCTGAGCCTCTTGTCAATGAGGATTCCACTGTAACACAAACTGCAATAGGTGAGATAGAACACATTTTACAATGTGGAGTCCAGTAGTGTATTGGTTAAAGCTCCCTGCGTGCGGAGCGCTATATGACTGCATGTTCTTATTGTTGTAGCACTCGCCTCACAAGCGAGAGGACCCGCGTTCGATTTCCAGGTAGGACGACACCTTAGGTAAGTTTCTTTACTCAGTAGAAACACTGTAGTTTTGTTTCATTCCAAAAAATGTCACTTTATGTTCTGTGAAGGCAGAGCGAGAGTTACCTAAAAAATGCACAGTCACTACGTCTTACAGTAAAAACTACTCCGCTACAAAACTCCACGTGTGATGGGGGTTGCGAATCCTAAACTCTGTTGCGTGGCTCCCAAATCCACATTGGATTCATGATGCCTTTTTTTTTTCCAAGATCACATCCACGAGTTTGATGTGGTGACGAGGAGGGCCTTACAGTCAGCGGGCAGAGACAATCAAGCCGAGAGTCGTGATTATTTCCACATGGTGTAAGGTCAGGTCCATAAATAGCCTGGCTCATTAAAGACTGGCTCAGTCTTATCGCTGTGCAGTCTTTAATCGGACTGGGAGTCACCCTGTACTTAAGTGCAATGTTGAAGCTCATCTGGCTAAGAAGTGTAAACCCCTGGCAACCGGGAACGTTTGCTCGTCTGTACGGTTTCTGTACATCTGCCTATGTTGCTCTGACTTATTTTAAGTTAGGTTCCACTACCACAATACACCCCCAGGGAGGGTATAATTAATCTCAGTCCAGCCCACGTACACATATAATCTGCCATCACTTGCAGTCAGTGTGATCAGTGCCACACAGCATCTCACAAGAGTTCAGGTCTCTTTCCCTGTGTAGATCCGTTTGTCTGAACGAAAACGGTTCTGAGGAGGAATTATCCGGTGTTCAATACTGGTTTTGCTTCGAGCGTTGTCTGGTCTTACTCCCTGCCTCACATCTGGACCCATCGCGTCCACATCGAGGTTTCCCCAGTGTTTTTTTTTTCTTTCCTCCAACCCCTTCTGTGCCTCTGTCTCCCGTTTTCCCAGTTTCTTTTTTGTTTCCTCCAACCTTCTTCGGTCTCGCTGCCCCTCGGAGTGTGTCTGCGTCGGGATGTCTATCGCTGGGATGGCAGCTGAGTTCATTCTCTCCGACTCCCTCATTCGAGAGCCGGCCAACACCAGAGCGAGCAGTCTGCGCTTGGAGCTGGCTCGGGATCGTCTCATCAAATTCATCTCCGTGGGTCTCCCCCTCCTGCTCGTCTCAGCCGCCTTCGCCAAAGAAATCTCCCTCCGTGAGTTTCCGTTGTCTTCTTCCTTTTGGGTTAATCTGACTGTGTGTCAGCCTGGCGCAGTCGGTAGCACTCTCACGTCGGGATTTGGAATCACGTTGCTCTGGGAGGGAGGTGCTGCATTGTCGGAGGTGCTGTCCTTGGGTTGAGACGTTAAACCGAGGTCCCGTCTGCCTGTTCAGGTGGATGTTAATCCCGCGGGGCAATTTGAAAAGAGAAGGGAGTTTCGCTCTCCCATGTCCTGGCCAACAATCTCCCAGATAACATTGGTCACTCACTCCACGACTGTTTGTGGGACACTGCTGTGCGAGTGTCACTCATAAAAATACACAGTCGCTGCACTTTAATAGTATATCCTGTGAAGTGCTTTGCGATGTCTCAATGACAGGATTTGTGTATTATTTTACAGGATCCCAAATCAGCTGTTTTCCCCCCAGTAACTTCTCTACGAAGCAGGCTGCGTACGTAGATGCTATCTGTTGGGAATCCTTACTCCATCAGCACATCCAACCCAGCGGGAACGTCGCACAGAGGTCTCTGTGGATACACAAGGTATTGGGCACAAGGAAGCATTGGGCAATTCTTACTCTCCTAACGAATGTGAAACGCTAACCGATAACTAGCGACAAACGTCAGTGACGCTAACTTAGATAACCGTTAGTGGAGATAAATGAAATCCTAATAGCGTAGTGGCTAGAGCACTCGCCTCGCAAGTGAGAGAACCTGGGTTTGGTTCCCAGGCAGGGCAACACCATTGGCAGGTTTCCTTACTCCACTCCTTATTAAGTTGTTCTCACTGTTGGCTAAGTGTCAGTGTTGACTATAACCTTGTACCTGCTGACGTTCAGGTGTTCCCGTACTCCCTGCTGGTGATTGCTGTGACCATGTACCTTCCCGCTCTGATCTGGAAACTGTTTGCCAAACCGTCCTTGGCCTCCGACCTGATTTTCATCACTGACGAACTGGACAAAGCCTACAACCGCTCCATCAAAGTGGCTCAACTCATCGTGAAGAAGCACGAGAATAGTCTCAGTGCCCGAAGCCTCATTCAGGAGGAGCTGGACAGGTATCTGCAGTCACTATGTTTTGATCAAGCATATCAATAAGGCGCTATGTCAGTTGCAAAGGATTATTGCTATTGTTTCATGTTTTTCTCTTTGTGTTCCTTTTGTTTTCTAAGGGCCCGGAAGGAGGGAGTGTTAGATTTCCCCCTGTTACACCGTTACCTGGCTTGTAAGAGCCGTTCCTATCACCTCATTAGCATATACCTCATGAGGAACTTCCTGCTGTTGGTGTTCATCGCCGCTGCCTGCCTTTACCTCATCTACTGCCACTTCCCAGCCTTTTTCCAGGACCGATTCAGCTGCTCCATCAAGTCAGACCTCTTAGCCAATGACCCCACAATCCCGAATGCCATTCAGTGCAAACTCACCTCTATGACCATCTTCCAGTTGATCAGCGTGGTCAACGGGACAGTGTACCTCTTGCTCGTCCCCATGATCATTTACAGTCTCTTTCAGCTCTGCTATTGGGATCGCCGGTTCCTCTCTGTCTACGCCATGCTTCCCGCCTTCGACCTGGTCAGGAGGAAGATGACCAGATGTGCTCTCAACGACCTCAACATCATCCTCCATTTCCTGCAGGCAAACATGGGGCAGCTGCAATCCTTCAACCGCCTGAGCGTGCTGTGTGTGGTGAAGAACATGAGCGCCCAACAGAAAGGCTACACTCTGGTGGACATGATGACCCTCCTCGTGGGCCTGGAAGACAAGACCCCCGGAGATGGTGCCAATACGCCTGTGACTGTGGACAACGGGACGGTAGGACCTCATCGGCCGAGAGACACAGATCCAAACCAAGAACCTGGCCAAGGTGAGTGTCAGATCAATTATTGGGTACGGATGTCAAACCTCAGAATAGTAAAGCACTTACACAAGTCAAGCCCTGCATTCTCTCTTGCTTGAGGAACCTGGGTTCGATTCCGGGCGGGACGGGCAAAACCTTAGGCAAATTTCCTTACTCCACACACCTTAGTTTACTTAGTAGTAAGTAGAAACCCTGTTGTTAGATCTGTTTACCCAGCAACCCGGTTGGTAGTCGATTGGCAGATCGCTTTCCGGGGGAAATTATCCCTCCCCAAAAAATAATTTGGTCACTCAATCCACGCTTGTTTATGCGACACTGCTGTGCAATTATCACCACATCGTTGAGACGTCTCAAAGCGCTTCACAGGCTGTACTGTAAAGTGGAGTGCCTTTACTTTGTATTTTGCAAGTGAAACGCGGGCTTTATAATTATTCCAGCTCTTGATGCTGCCGCCAGTTTTGTGGGTCAAAAGCGGTTTATTATCATTGTGTCGTAGAGCTTAATCAGTAGGTTTCAGTCGGTATTGTTGTTGTAATAAAATGTACTTATTGCTGTCTTTGCTGTAACCAGCGCCAATGCTATTGCACGTTCCGTACCTGACCCACGTTCCCATTTCCGTTCCAGACCAGAGGACAGAAGGCGTGTGTGGAGGCTATCCAAAGTCACAGGACTGCTCAAGCTGCTGAGAGTTGTGCAACTCCCTGTTTTATATTGGCTTTGATGAGCTTGAGAGCACCGGGAATGCTGCAAAGCTGTAGCCAAACTTCACTTGTTATTAAAGACTATTTATACTGTACCTGTGATGCGTGTCCAACATTCTCCCTCTGCACCTGCACAATACACGTTGAGTTTTTATGCAGCAAAACAGCTGCCGATTACACAGGGTCTTTCACACAGTTTAAACATCTCAAAGCGCTTTACAGAAATGAAGTGGGAGATGACCTGAGGTGCAGGCAAAGAAGTAAGTTAAGCCACTGTTAAGTGCTCCAAGATGCTGTCCGGCACTATATAAATGCAAGTTGTTATTGGTTTTCTATTACAGTTCTGAAAGCAGAGCGGGAAGGGGAGGGTTTTAGGGTGGAGGGACGGGGAGGGGGGGTTTGTGAAATCAACAATGCTTATAACATCCTGTTTTTAAATACTTTTATTTACAAGTTTATTTCACAGGTTCTCCTGGACATCCTGTGGTGCCTAATACAACCAGATGTGGTTAATGTAAAAAGGTAATATTCCACGAGTAAGGCTTTTGGATAGAAACCCTTTGACTTCTCTATGAATAGCCAATTTGCACTTGACGTACAATTGATCATCGAGGAAAGATGCGGTCCCTTCAGCGCAGAATCTCACTGCCCTCAGCAGCGTCAGTCTTGGAGCAGGTTCCTTGAGATAAGCATCCTCATCACCTCATTGGTACCTAGAGGAACAGATACTCCGTGACATTTACTGCTCTCAACTCGTACAATATATCCCCCAAACTGTTCTATTTGAGGAATACGGGGCAGGAGGCCATTCAAGCCGTGCTTCCAATTTACTAGATCGTGGCACACCTTTTAATTCTATTTCTCACTCAGTCTTTCCTGCACATTCCTGAATGCCCTCAAACCCGAATTAGCTGCTTAATTTCCCCTTTAAAAGCATTTCAATTGAGTTTGCCTCTACAGTATTCTAGGGCGGACATTTTCACCCCCCCTTTGTTTTGAAGAAATGCTTTCTGATCACATTCTATCCCTCCCTCCTAAATAAATGATGCTTGCATTTGGTGTAGTGCCTTTCACGTTGAAGGACATCTCAAAGCTAAGGATGACAGGTTTTACTGTAAGGTGTAGTGACTGTGCATTTTGTAGGGATGTCTCGCTCTGCCTTCACAGCGCACAAAGTGAAACGATGTCCCTTTTTTTGAATGAAACAAGAAAAATAGTCTTTCTGTACCTTCCAAGATCTGATGCACTCGAATATCTCTGACAAACTGCTGCACAGCATAGTCCTTCAGATAGCCATAGCCTCCGTGCATCTGAAGAGCCTGGTTACAGATCTGAGCGAGAAGGAAAGATGTCTCAGTGAAGCCAGTGAACAGGACAAACCACAGTGTCATTGAGAATTCGGTTTGTCTGATACCCGTGGAATCCTATCGATGTGCTCAAGGGTCTTTGAACCAAACTGAGTTTGGCAAGTGCAGGTAGGCGAGACCCAGGGCTTTTGGGATCCCAGACTGTGCACTGGGACTTCCACGCATGTCCACCATGCTAGGTCTTAGCTGTCTTAAGAGATAATAATCCTTGAGTTTGATATAACGCCTTTTCACGTCGTTGAGTCGTCTCAAAGCGCTTCACAGAATATATTGTAAAGTGGAGTGACTGTGTGTTTTGTGGGCGGAATGCCAATTGCAAAATACGCAGTCGCTTAATTATTATTATCAGAGAGAATGGTTAATAATAATCGTTGCGACGGAGGTGTCAAAGCGAGCGCTTCACAGGCTATACAGGTAGTGTAGTGACCACGTTTTGCAGGCCAACTCGGGTAACTCACCGTGAAGCATTCATCGGTGGCGAAGAGCTTCGCCATGGAGCAGAGGGCCACTGCGTCCTCCCGGCCGGCCTGCAGCGCGGAGGCTGCGTTCCGCACCATCAGCCGAGCCGCAAGCAGTCCAGTCGCCATCTCCGCCAGTCTGAACTGTAGATACTGAGACCAGACCAGACCCCGTCACTGAGGCTGAGCTGCTGCTCAAGCTCCCGAATCACCCCCAACCACCTGCAGCCGCTCAGCGCGCTGTGTTGACCCTCGCGCAGTCTCAGAGCCGCTACTGGGATCTGTTTTGCTCACAGAATAGTCCCTTTCCGGTCTCCCGTTTGTCCCTCGTCCGCCTCCGCTCCACCATCGGTGGCCGTGCCTTCAGCCTCTGCGCTCTGGAACTCTCTCCCTCAATCCCTCCGCCTCACCCCCTAAAGACCTTTCTTTTTGATCGTGCTCACGGTCACCTCCCCACTCTCTCTCCCCCCGGCTCGGGGTCAGACTCCGCCACTGTTGAGCGCTCCGGGATGCCACCCTGCGTGAAGGGCGCTGTGTAAACCCAAGTTGTTGTTGTTGTGGAGTTCTCCAGGATGGGATTTCCTTACCTGACTGTTAGCGAGAGGTTCCCCGAATTGCCTACGGACTTTCAGGTGATCCCGAGCCAGAAGAATGGAGGCGTAAGCGGCGCCCAACGAACACGAAGCTGCAGAAAGCAGAGACGGCGAGGGGTAGTGGGGGGGGGGGTTACCGAGGGGGCAAAACCAACCATTGGATTGGCCTTAAGCAGAGACAGTCCCTCAATGTAGTTCATTCGCTCCATCAAACTGAATCCCAGACCACCTGACAGAGAAGACCTGGTGAATTTGCTCCTGTTTTGAACGTGGCTTCTCCTCGTTCAGACGTTTTTTTCCTGACCCTACTGCGCCTGCCTTAAGGGCTCTGATCTTTCATCACGTACTCGGTGATAAGCCTCGCAGGACGAGTTGCAGCGAGCACAAATTCCCCTCCGATCTCTGCGTAAGCTGCAGCTGAGTTTGTAACTCGTACCCAACAAACCTCCAGCTGAAATTGATCACTCGCTTCGTGGGCTGTTTGCGTCGCATTGATGTGCGCAAATTGATTGCCACTTTCTCCTACATATTACTGGTCACTACACCTTACAGTCAAGTGCTCTGCGATGTAACCCTGTATGAGGGGTGCTATATAAATGCAAGATATTGTTGTTGAATCCTATGAAGCGCCAAAATACTGAACGATACCGGGAGTCGGACTGTAATTTCAAAGACCTCCCTGCAGCTGATGTTAAACTTACCGAGCGGGCTAGCTTCCAGATATGTCTCCTGCCCTTTCCTAAATTATGGAGTTCTGCTAGCTACCTTCCAATCCTCAGTAATCTCTCCTGAATTCAGTGAACATACAAAAACGTCAAGTTAACACAGCGCCACGACCTCTAAGGTCCTGTTACCTCCGCACAGGTCACAGCAACGAGAACGAGACCCCTGGTTGAGGTTGAGGTGATAATGAATCTGCAGATTGACTCACACTTCAAGGACGTGGATTGGATTGGACCAGGGAGGGAGGCAGTTTGAGAGTTCGATTCAGGTTATATTTAGCCGCACTGTACTGTGTTTGACTTTGCAAAGCCCTGCTAGAAATCTCATTACGGCTATTTTTTGCCTCGTGACCTGCTCATTTGAAAACCTAACTGGAATCCTGTCTGTGCTGGTACAGTAGTGACATAGTTTGTAAATGTAGTTTGACCACTGGGAACTATAAAGCCCGTTCTCTCTGTAGCTCAGTGGTTAGAGCACTCGCCTCCCAAGTGAGAGGACCCGGGTTTGATTCCCAGGCAGGGAGAAACCTTAGACAAGTTTCCTCGCTCCACACGCCTGTTTATCTAACAGTAAATAGGAATCTGACTGTTAGTCGACTGGAGGATTGCTTTTCCGGGGGTAATAATTCCTTTGAAAGAAAACAATAATTTGGTCACTTAATCCATGAGTGTTTGTGGGACGCTGCTACACGTAATTGGCTGCTGCGTTTCGCCCACAAAATATACAGTAAATGCCCTTTACAGTACATCCTGTGAAGCGCTTTGAGACGTCCCGAAGACGTGGTAAGGTGCTGTATCAAATGTAAATATTATCATTATTAAGATTGTCTTACCGATGTTGATTCTTCCTCCATTTAATCCTTTCATCGCGATAGAGAACCCATCCCCTTCTTTCCCAATCCGGTTGGTCACAGGCACAGCGCAGTCCTCAAAGATCACAGCTCGTGTGGGCTGTGAGTTCCAGCCAATCTTAGGAAGAAGGAAGAGGGTGAGAGGAGGTTGATTTGGATCACTGTTGAGGTACTTTCAGAGCACAGAGAAACCCTGTGTTCTCTACCACTACAAGAATAAACCACTCTGCCCTGCTGATCGCACCCAGTCTCACAGTCATTTACCTTCTTCTCCTTTTTGCCGAAACTCATCCCTGAGGTGCCTCTCTCCACCAGGAGACAGGAGATGCCCTTAGGTCCCTTGTCTCCAGTCCTGCACATCACTACGTACAGATCCGTGTCGCCACCTCCGCTAATAAAAGCCTAAATAAATAGAAGCGATTAAAGCAGAGAGTCTGAGCAGCAGCACGTTTACTGATCGTGGATCACAAGCAGTGAGCAAAATAGGTAATAAATACTTCAAACGGGTACGGCTGCACTGCTGTTGGGAGCCCAGCCACCCTGGCTCATCAGTAGGACTTGAGCGAGGGGCAAATCCGGTCACTGGGCACAGGAAATCTTCCCACTCAGCTCCTGCGAGCGCTGCGGCTAATACTCTTGGAATTAATGGAAGGGGCGTGGCGGGTCCCTGCAGGGAGAGAGAGCACGTATTCCATTCCAGACATGGTAGTTTGTATGTGTGGGTGGCAAACGTGGAACCCTCAGTTTGGTTTGGATATACCCCTTGGGCAAGGTGATGGGGTTTCTACATGTGTTGGACACTCAGCCGACCAAACAAGAGGATACAAACTGGATGCAAACCACGGCAGCCGCTACTATTATTATTACAGGTTTATTGCAAGGCCAGTCTGATTGATCCGTATTCACCTTGGACCCGTTGAGGATGTAATGGTCACCCTCCAGCTTTGCAGTGGTTAGCAATGAGGCTGCGTCACTGCCACTTCCTGTTGGGAGAGAAACAGGCGAGTGATAGAACCTGGAGTCCTGTAGTGGAGGGGACAGGGCGCTCACCTTGCAAGCGAGAGGATCCTTTTTCGATTCCCGGGCGGGGCAAAACCTTAGGCAAGTTTCCTTGCTCCACACACATGCCGGTTTAGCCAGCAGTAAGAAGGAACCCGATTGTTAAGTCAATTGGCGGATTGCTTTCTGGAGGTATTAATTCTTCCACAAAATAAAATCGGCGACTGTTTGCGGGACGCTGCTGTGCGCAATTGGCTGCCGTGTTTCTCCCACGGAATATAGACAATTCACTTTACGATCCTAATGTGGCCCCTGTCTCCTCTTGTGCCCTCAGGCACAGTCTGGTACGTGGGAACATTACACTGTCTGTCTGTGTTTTTTAGCACATATAAACAGAAACCCCTTCCTGCAACGTGCCCATAGGAAGAAAGCAAACGGCGCCATCATTAATATATTATTATCATCATCATCATAATATAACGCCCTTCAGCTGCGAGTTGTGTCTCAGAGCTCGTCATAAAAGCGTCAGGAGTTGATGCCCCCAACTGGAAGCAGACCTGGTTCGGTCAGACAGTAGGAAGCGAATCTCTCCATGTTGCACAGCACAGGGCAGTGCTGCTGCCTCTGCTCCTGGCTCCCGAACGTGTCGATCATCCAGACACACATACTGAGAAGGCAAAAGGAAAACCACCGATTAAAACCCAAGCGGAATTGGGGTCGAGCGAGTCATTACTTAGCGTTCCTGACTGTACCCCCTGTTAAGCGCTCGAGACGTTTCCCAGCCCCTGATTTTCCAGCGCCCTGGGACGTCTTCTCGACGTGAAGGGCGCTGACCATACAAGTGTACGTTTGTTGTTCTGTTTTGAAGGGCGCCGTAGAAATGCAAGTTGTGGCTCTTCCCGCTCTGGTCCATTCCCCGCTGCCAACGCTCTCCACCTTTCAACGTCTCGAACGCGTGACGAGGCGCCATAGCAGATGCGAGGATTACAACCTGAGGCACTGTAGACACTTTACTCGAGATGTGTCGTTCCCACATCACTTACTTGTGAATGCTGATGTAAGCGGTGGTGCTGACGCAGCCTGTGGACAAGGCCTCAAATATGATGGACGTATCCAAGCGCGAGAGCCCCGAGCCCCCAACATCTGGCTGAACGTAAATCCCCCCAAAACCCAGCCGCGCCGCCTTCCTCATGGTCTCCACGGGAAAGGTTTCCTGTTGGGAGACGCGATCGCATCGGTCAGAAGCAGAACTCACAATCAGTTCCTCGGAAGAAAATTCAGCGCCGAAAACCACCATTACGGTGTATAGTTGGGGACACGACATGTCAGGCGGTTGGCGGAAGGCGAATGGGGTGGACCTCGGTCTTCCCTCGTCCAGCAATTCCTATGTCAACTTCCAGACTGTACGGACTCAATTCCCACAGTCCCTCCGCCTCCGCCCCTTCCCTTCAAAGACCATTTTAAGACCTTCCTCTTAAAATGACCGCATCTTCAGTCACCCTCCCACCGAGTTATTACATATTATGGTGTGGTGTGGAAATTATGGGGTGGGGGGGGGTTGGGGGAGAGAGATAGTTATCTCTGGTGCTTTGTGACAGCAACGGGGCCGTGAACAGCCGTACAACCGCCAGCAATTTTACAAAGGATTAACGCTTATGGCATTATCACTGCGGTTAAGTCTTCAGGCAATAATAATAATAATAATCCTTACAAGAAGTCCTACTTCTCGTATTGATGGACTGATGGACTGAGCGATGGACCGATCTGTTGCTGACCCCACCGGTCAGCACACGGCGGCTTTACCTTCTGGTCCCACTCGGCCATGTGCGGCGCCAGTTCGTTGGAAGCGAAGTCAAAGGCCATCTTCTGGAACTCCTTCTGTTCATCTGTGAGGCCGACGGCCGCTGCGGGAGAGGCCACAGCTCAGCCACCAACCGCACGGCCAGCGGCGGCCACGGCCAGTCTCCACTCACTCACACTCACTCACTCACACTGACACACTCACTCACTCACACTCACTCACACACTCACTGACACACACACACACACACACTGACTGACACACTCACTGATACACACACACACACTGACACTCACACTCACTCACACACTCACACTGACACACTCACTCACTCACACACTCACACACTGACTGACTGACACACTCACTCACACTGACACACTCACTCACTCACACTCACTCACACACTCACACACTGACTGACTGACACACTCACTGACACACACACACTGACTCACACTGACTCACACACTCACTGACACACTGACTGACTGACACACTCACTGACACACACACACACACACACACACTGACACACTCACTGACACACTCACACTCACTCACACACTCACTGACACACTCACACAGTGACACTGAGTGTGTACCGGGACTCACGGTCCACACAGCTGTGTGTGAGGCGGAGGGTCCTGACCGCGGGTCCCGGGCCTCGGGCTCTCAACACAGCGCCGACCAACCGCCCGAGCGCCATCTTCACGCCCGGAGGGGGGGGGGGCGGCCACTGGCGGGTCAGTGGGCGCGACCTCCGGCCACAGGGCGGCGCTGGCGGGTCAGTGGGCGCGACCTCCGGCCACAGGGCGGCGCTGGCGGGTCAGTGGGCGCGACCTCCGGCCACAGGGCGGCGCTGGCGGATCAGTGGATACGACCTCCGGCCGCAGGGCGGCGCTGGCGGGTCAGTCCGTGTTTACCCGGTGACCAGGCGGCCGCGGAAGTCAAGATGGCGGCGGCGGGAGTGTGGGCGCTGCTGTGGCCGCTGCTGCTGAGCGGGGCCCGAGCGGGTACAGGCGCCAACTCCGGGCCCAGGGCCCCGGGGCCCACATGTGGGCACCAGCGGCTGCTCAGGGCGTCGGGAGCGCTGTCAGAGCGCTTCACGGGATAACACCACAACATAACATAACACAACACAACATAACATATCACAACATAACACAACACAACATAACATAACACAACACAACACAACATAACATATCACAACATAACACAACACAACATATCACAACATAACACAACACAACATATCACAACACAACATAACATATCACAACATAACACATCACAACATAACACAACATATCACTACATAACATAACACAACATAACACAACATAACACAACACAACATAACACAACATAACATATCACAACATAACACAACATATCACAACACAAGTCCGTGTCACACCGTCAAAGAAAACCTTTGGCTTTCAGTGTTAACAGGAGCTGAGTGGGAGGACTCCCCCCAGTGACTGGACTGAGTGAGGACCCCCCAGTGACTGGACTGAGTGAGGACCCCCCAGTGACTGGACTGCCCTTCCAAGTGCTTTGTTCCGTGTAACTGTCTTATGTTGTCTCTCAGGGCCCGAGTTCCGCTTCGCCTCCTATTACAGTCACCACATGGTCCTCCAGGTGAAACCCGCCAGGGCCGTGGTGTGGGGATACGGTGCGGAGGGCGCGGCCGTCCATGTGCTTCTCTTCAACGAGGACCAATTCTTCAGTGACCAGCACACGACAGTGCAGAAAGGTAAAGTGTTGTGAGGACGCACGGCCCTGCGGTGTCTAACCTCACCACACGCATCTAAAATGAGGGAATCAATTGGATGTTAACCGCAGAAGTAGTAGTAGTAGTAGTAATAATAATAATAATAATAATCCTGGCATTTGATACGGCGCCTCATCACGTCTTCGAGACGTCTCAAAGCGCTTCACGGGATGCACTGTAAAGTGAATTGACTGTATTTTTCGAAGTAAAAGGTTATAGCAATTATTTTTAACTGCAGGGTGGAGGAATGTGGAAAGGCCTGTTCAGGCCGAGGCCCAGACAATACCCACGATTTGCTTTGATCTTTCAGATGATGCTGTTGGTGGTAATGGAACCTGGAAAGTCTGGCTTGATCCCGTCAGCCACGGAGGCCCCTTCATGGTCCTCGCCCAGCAGAGCATCGCTGGATTGGTGGAGTCCATTGGCATAAACGATGTGTATTTTGGAGACATCTGGCTGTGTGGAGGCCAGAGTAACATGCAGTTTACTGTATCCCAGGTAGGAGACGGGGTGACACATTGGCAAACACAGGCTGCGTCTGGCACAAATTGCTGTATATTTCAAGGCAAATTGGCAGCCACGTTTGCACACAGGAAACAGCCAGGAAGAAAATAATAATAATCCTTGCATTTGATATAGCGCCTTATCACGTCATGGAGACATCTCAAAGTGCTGCTTCACACAGAATATATTGTAAAGTGGAGTGACTGTGTATTTTGTGGGTGAAAATAGGACACATTCATCCAGAGGGTTTTTGGCCAGTGACGGCTTACCATTGAAAGTTTCATGTCTGTTGGAGTGGCACAAAGAAACGCTCATCACTAAATCTGAGGCCAAATTCGTCATCTTCAAGCGAAATTCCAATATAATCCTGTTCTGTCCAGTCATCCAGTCGTGCCGTGTTGAACAGATCATGTGTTTCACTTCCACGACTAGTTTGTAAGGGTTGTAAGTATGTAAGGGTTGCCATGTTTAATTGTCTTCCTACCTTATATCAGGTTATGAACGCAAGTGAAGAGCTGGCTCTGGCTCCCCGCTACCCCCACGTACGGCTATTCCAAGCTGGTATGTTTCAGTCTCCTTCTGAGTTGAACGATCTTGCTACTATCGGCCTGCAATGGTCAGTCCCTACAGGAAGTAAGTGGTAGTTCTTTCATCCTAGTAGTCCCTTATTATAATAACAACACTTGCATTTTACACACAAAATCAACTTGCATTTATATAGCACTGTTACCTGCTCTATATTCTGTGAAGCGCTTTGAAACGTCTCAACAAAGTGATAAGGCGTTACATGAAATTCCAGTATTATTATTATGCTCTTTCTCCTCACACATTATAATAATAATAATAACATTAATATTATTCCGGGAGATGGAATGTTTTGTCGAGCGCTTCACAGAATATACTGTATAGTGAATTGACTATACTTTGTGGGCGAAACGTAATGTCCACTTAATTTTTAACTTGTCTCACTTTCGAGACGTTTCTTTTGCACCATTTTTTTTCAATACCTCTACAGATAAATATAAGTCGATGCCTGCTTATGTCAGTCTAAATTGATTGTTCCTTTTGCAAAGGTAATTTGGCCCATTTCTCAGCTGTTTGTTGGCTGTTTGGCCGAGATCTCTATGACAAGCTGCAGTACCCGATTGGCCTGGTGGAGTCGTGCTGGGGAGGTACCCCGATCGAGACTTGGTCTTCTAAACGAGCTCTCCAGAAATGCCAGCAAACTTACACGTAAGTTTACAGATCTGTTAAGTTATTGCTTATTTTACTTCACCCAATAAACCACTGACTGCAGTTAAACGTGCAGTTTCCTATCCCTATTTGTCTCTTTCATCAAAGAGAAACAGACAATGTCTGGTGTTTTCGTACATTATTAATAACCCTTGCATTTGACAAAGTGCCTTTCACGTCGGGAGGACGTCCCAAAACTGTTTCACAAGACTTTACGATCGCCTCTGTTTACCTAGCAGTAAGTAGAAACCTGTTTTTTAGTTGACTGGCAGATCATGTTTCCAGGGGTAATAAGTCCTGTCCTGTGGAGTCCTGTGGCTCAGTGGTTAGAGCACTCGCTTTGCAAGCGAGAGACCTGAGTTCAATTCCAGGCAGGTCAGGGCGAAACCTTGGGCAAGTTTCCTTACTCCACACAGAGCCTAATAATAATCCTCCAAAAACAATAATAAATTGGTCATTTTCAATCTACGACTGTTTGTGGGACATTGCTCTGCGCAATTGGCTGCCGCCTTCGCCCACAAATATACAGTCAATTCACTTTACAGTGTGTTCTGTGAAGCGCTTTGGGACGTCCTCCTGACGTGAAAAGCGCTATATCAAATGCAAGGATTATTATTATTATAATCCCCTTTTTTGAAAAAGAATTGGTCACTCAATCCATGACTGTTTGTGGAACGCTGCTGTGCGCTATTGGCTTCCGCGTTTCGCCCACAAAATGCATAATCACTCACTCCACTTGGCAATATATCCTGTGAAGCGCTTCGAGACATTTCAACGACATGATAAGGAGCTGTGTCAAATCCAAGGATTATTCTCAAATGCAAAGATTGTTATTGTTTTTAACTGGATATTTAGCTGGAAGTGTGTCGGTCTGGCTCAGTTGGCAGCGCCGCTCTGTTGTCTTTCAGGGCTGATGTCGGGGATCGGAATGAAAGAGGTCCTCATTTTCCAACTGTGTTGTGGAATTCAATGATACATCCTTTGCTACAGATGACAATCAAGGGAGCAATCTGGTATCAAGGTGAGATGTTTACCGCCTCACATTGGACCTTTCCTGGTGACACCACTGAGCGTCTGTAGGTGGTGCTGTTAGGGTGAGGAGTCCGTCCAATTAGATGTTAAACCGAGGTCCCGTCTGTGTCTATTCAGGTGGACGTTAAAGATCCCTCCCGTGGATTTGTTCAGAAAGAGAAGGGAATTTCTCTCTCGCGCGGTTCCCTGGCCGACCACCTTCCAAATAAAATTAGTCATTCGCTTCGTGGCTGTTTGTGGCACATGGCTGTGGGCAAATTGGTTGCCACCTTCGACCGCAGAATCCCGTGAAGTATTTTGACAGGTCCTCCTGATGTGAGAGACTAAATACAAGGATTAATATGATTATTGTTATTAATATTCCATGTGACTTTTTTGCAGGAGAAGAAAACACGCACAGTTACAATGATCTGTATAACTGCACTTTCCCGGCAATGATTAATGACTGGAGGCAGGCTTTCCACGAGGAGTCTGGAGGACAAACGGAAATAGATTTTCCTTTTGGTTTTGTGCAGGTAATGTAAAGTCTGACAATTTAAACATTTCACAACACGTTATTGCGCTGCTGGGCATCGTGGACAATTACTGAGGCACTGGTGTAGCACCTTTTATATAAAATTTCAAGCGAGAGGACATGGGTTTGATTCCCGGACAGAGTGAAACCTTATCCAAGTTTCTTTACTCCACACACACTCCTCTATTTACCAGCAGTAAGTAGGAACCTGCTTGTTAGTTGATTAGCGGATCGCTTTGCAGGGGTAATAATCCCTCAAAAAAAAGAATAATTTGGTCACTCAGTGCATGACTGTTTGTGGGACACTGCTGTGCGCAATTGGCTGCTGCGATTCGACCACAGAATATAGTCATTTCGTTTTACACTATATTTTGTGAAGCGCTTTGATATGTCTCAATGATGTGATAAGGCACAAATCAGCTGTAAGGATTAATATTATTAAAATGACTGTCTCTACTTAACACAAGGTGTCGGCAGAGGCTGTGAGGAGATCTTTAGGAAATTGTCACAGACATTGAAGGCTTTTAAAAATATATATTGAGTTAAGTCAGTCAGCGATGAATCAAACCTATAGAGCTGTGCTGTATGCAGACCGTTCAGAATGCAGCGCTCTTTTCTATCATTATACCCAGTGCTTAATAACGGGAGAAATGGCTTCCAGTTTCTCACCAGTAGCTTGGCGCTGTGTTGAACCTATAACGGATCGGGTTAAATGTTATAAACGTATCGCTCTCAAATAATTTTAATGCCGAGACTGCTGTATTCCTGCTAGCGGCGAGCGAGGTGTGAAATTAGTAATGCTGTGAGTAGCTGCCCCCACGGTGGACAACTCGTTGGGATGAAATGCAATGTGTCGCTGTAACAGTGATCGATATCCTCCTTTGTAGCTCTCGACATTTCGCCACAACTCCACGGATGACGCCTACCCACGGCTGCGATGGCACCAAACGGCCAATTACGGTTACGTCCCAAACCCAGTAATGCCCAAAACCTTCATGGCTGTGGCGATGGATCTGGGAGACGAGAAATCTCCCTATGGCTGGTAAGCGATGGCTCTGCTTCAAAAGTGGCTGAGGAGACGCTGCCCATTTTTTTGGGTGTGTATGGGGGGTGGGGGGGGGCAGCCGGGGGTCTGACACGTGTAGAAACCCATCACTGTGCTTAAGCATATCTAAACCACGTGGAAATTGGACTGGAATGCGCACTCTCTCCCTCTCCCTTGAGGGAAGCCGTCTGCTTACCTAATTCCGGAAAGTATTAGGCCGCAGGTTGGCAAAGGCCAAGGAGTTGCCCGTTAGCAGAAGACTGACGGAGCAAGGTTTGAATGTTAATATCAAACAATCTGAGGCGTGACCCTGCATGAGCGGTGCTATATCAATGCAAGTTGTGGTTTGTAACTTCCTTTGAACTTGTGGGCGTGTGCTTCTGAGCGTGGAACTCTTCTTTGTTTCCTTTCAGCATCCATCCTCGCTATAAGCAGGAGGTGGCGTTCCGGTTGTATCTCGGCGCTCGGGCTGTGGCGTACGGAGAGGACATCCCGTTTCAGGGCCCGTTTCCAAAGGGCATCGATCAGAGGAACACAACGTTAGTTATCGTCTACACGCAGGAGCTGACTGTGGTAAAATTGAGTGCGAACGCATTTGAGGTAACATTGGTACCTATATTCTGTTAATATATAGCTAGCAAAACAGAGAGCCAATTTTTGGGGGTCTGCCAGGTGTTTGACATGTACAGAAACCCATCACCAAACCAAATAGAGTTCCATGCATCCCAACTGTACATGGAAATTCCCGATATATTTATTGGAATGGAATGCGCACTCTCCCTCTCCCTGGAGAGTATTAGGCGTAGGTTGGCACGAACCAAGGTTTGGGGGCCCCAGAGTTTGCGTTGGGCTAATTGCTGGACTCCAACCAGCTAAAACCACATAGGTTACCACTGATGTCACTGTCTGGCAAAGCTTTTTGCTACTTGTCCAGCAAGAAGGACCTCAGCCATTAGGCTTATAGGGTTAACAGGGACTGAGTGGGAAGAATCAAGCATGAGATTGAGCCTCACAAGGAGGGGCAATCTCATGACCCTAGAGTAGAGGATGCCGTATAATACGCGTTGCTCTTGGCTTTTCAGGTGTGTTGCAGCATGAAGAAGAATTCTTCCGCCTCTCAGTGGATCTTTGCTCCCATGATCAAAAGTTCTTCAAACACCGTCACTCTGTCTGTGGAGCAATGTCGCCAGGAGATAATTGGCATCCGGTACGCGTGGGAAGATTGGCCCTGTGAACTGAAGCAGTGCCCCTTGTACAACCAGGATTACCATCCACTCCCCGCTCCTTCCTTCTCTATACATCCCTTCGAATAGATGCCCCGGCTGGCACGTGGATTCTGCGGGATTGTATTTTAAGCGCAACAGCAATGCATTTCATTAATGATTACATTTTTTCTATCTCAAGGGTTAAAAGCTCCTTAGCGCTTTTATACATGTTGATTTTCAGGGGATAACTTAATAACAATAATAATAATAATAGTCCTTGCATTTGATATAGCGCCTTATCACGTTTTGTTATTTATGCATTTGCTGAGCATTAATCAGCGGAGTCCTGTAGTTTAGTGGTTAGAGCACTCTCCTCGCAGGCGATAGGACGTGGGTTCAATTCCCTGGCAGGGCAAAACCTTAGGCAAGTTTCCTTACTCCACACGCCATTGTTTATCTAGCAGTAAGTAGGAACCCAGTTGTTAATTGATCAGCGAATTTCTTTTCCGAATAATACCTCTTAAAAAAAAATTGTTTTAAATAATTTGGTCATTCAATCCATGACTATTTTGGGACGCCGCTGTGCGCAATTAGCTGCTGTGTTTCGCCTCCAAAATATACAGTCAGTTCACTTTACAGTACATTCTGTGAAGCGCTTTGGGACGTCTCAAAAGACGCGATAAGGCGCAACATCAAATGCAAGGATTATTTATCACAGAACACTGCTGCCTTTTCATCTCTTTATCAATGTGTCTTAAGATTTATTGTTTTATTCCCCAGCACTAATCTGTACTGTATTGGCCACAAGAGTCGTGGTTATGGTTATGGTGTTTTATATATCTGGGGACACAAATGTGGACAGTTTTTTTTACACATAAGTAATTAACTGAATGATGTCTTATCAATCAAATAACAGATATTGTGGTGAAAAAAATCCCTTTACTGTTTTTCCCTATGTCCTGATTGTCGACTCTGTCGCTACTGGAGGGAATATAATGCTGAGGGAAGCACATGCACTCAGCTGAGCTGCAGAGACAGATGTTCTGCTACACAGTTCAGAGCTCCTGCCTCTCTCTACATTCCCTCCGTAACTCCTGTAATCCCCCCACCCTCCTACACATAATGTTGTTACTCACTCCATGACCGTTACGGGATAAAAACAGAAATCACTGGGAACACTCAGCAGGTCAAGCAGAATATTGCACTGGGGACACCCAAAGGACTTGGCTGGTCTGTGCTGCTGACGTATATATCTTGACGGCTTGGGAGACTTTTGCACAAAGAAAAGAATGGGAACTACTACCCCCCCCCCCCCCATGTCCTGTCCTGTCCTATTCTGGACCGCCTTGTCTTGTAATCGTCAGTTTATAATGTTTACAGAAGTATAAAATGGGAAATGAAGTGGGATAAATTCTGTCTGTCTAGCCTTATTGCACATCAATAAATCTTTCAAAGAGTACCGGAACCTTTGTGCATATCGTGAAATGTATTTGATTGCTCACTATAGAAGCACACTGCTTCGCCTGTCTCTACATCCCTGATTTGTGCTCAGTGACAGAGAGTGGAGTGAAGCTGGGTTAGCGGACTAACAATATTCCCTTTCCAGATCATCATCCTCTTTGTGATGGAGTCATTAACTCGGGAACCGTCTGCCTTTTGAGTGAGCAGGTCATTAAGGGACTTGCTGCTATTTTGAGCAAGTCTTTTCTCCTGGTTATCCCCGTTTATATTCCCTCCTCAACCAAACCCCCCCCATTCAAATTAATTGGCTATTCATCTCCTGGTCGTTTGCAAATTAGCTGCTGTATTTGCCTACATGAGTCACTTAATTTCTCATGACTCATTCCGAAATGTGGTTTTAGATGTTATTTTACATGAGCAGCGCTGTACAAATGTAGGTCTGGTGCTGAGTAAGCCTGGTGCACGGCATGGACTTGGACCTTGAGAACACCGAGGATAACTGGCACGGTGCTAGCTGTCCTGCAGAGGTGCTCCCACCTCGTTGAAGGCAGATGTTTGTCAATTGGCTGATGAGGAAACTGCAGCTTGGGCCGACGGCTGCCGGAAGGCGTTAACTGGAGGCCGAGTTCGTGAACATGTTTGTGCATCCGGCGCCCGGAATCCACCTGGATTGACTCGCAGAGAAGGTAAGCACTGGTCGCAAGGGAGGCGTATCTGAGCTGCGGACAGGAAGGTGGTGGCAACATCACTCGACGTTGTTCAAAAAGAGGAAGATATTTTCTCGCAGCAACTTGGCGAACAAAAACAATCCCAACAACTAAATTGGCCATGGCTGTTTCTGGGAACCTTGCTAAACTGTTTAGCCCGTGACTCAGTCATTACACTTTACAGTATATTCTGTGTCGTGCTTTGAGGTGTCTCGCGATGAGGTTCTATATCAAATGCAAGGATTAATATCATTGCGAGTTTGTACTGATGAGTGCTTTGAAGTGGTGGTGTGTCTTAGTATCAGTCAGTGCCTGTAGGTGGTGCTGCTAAATGTAGGAATGAGTGTTGATGGGTTTATACAGTCAATGGTTCTACTTATACTTCATGCGTCGTCGTCCCAATGATTGCCTTAGATAGCGCTTGGTGCATCTTGCTTTTGTCCTGGTTTACTCATGTGGAGCCCTGTCTGTTGTTGACAGTATTTGCATAGCAGCATAACCAATGGCTACAGGACTGGGAGTTGAGGCACTGCTGTGCACCACTGGAGTGCAAACATATCGAGGCCGTGCTGAAAGCATTTAAAGATTCATGGTTTAAAAAAAAACCTACCAGGCCCAAGAGGATAATCTGAAATGGGGCGGGGGAGAAAGCTACATTGGGATGATATAAGTGCTGTAGTTTAGTGGTTAGAGCACTCGCCTCGCAAGTGAGAGGACCTGGGTTTGATTCCCGGGCAGGGCGAAATGTTGGGTAAGTTTCCTTGCTCCACACGCTTCTGCTACCTATCTTTGCACTTGATATTGCACCTTATCATGTAATTGAGACTTGGATTGAATGGGCTGAATTGCCTCCGTGTCTGCTTTTGGTATTGAAAATCTGATTCCAAGAGTTGGGGTCCTGTCGTAACAGGATGCACTGTTACCTGGGTGGTTAGCTTCTGTGTTCTGGTTCCCTCCAGTTCCTTCTCACCAGCACGGTCTCTGCTAAATGACTCCAAGGCCAATGCAACAAATGATATGACTAAACGACAACAATTTATATTTACACGGCGCCTTTCACATCGGGGACATCCCAAGGCGCTGGGCGGTCAAGGATCTGCACCCGAGCTGGTGGTTGAGATCAGGTCTAATGCAACCCCAATAAAAGGCAACGCCACAGAGATTGCTGCAGAGGGCAGGATATGGGCCAGATTAGCTTTGTTTTTTCCACCGACTTAATGCCAATTGGGAAATAGCAGCCTCTGTGTGAAAGTGTTCCTTTCCATTGTTACCTGCTTTCCATTCCAGCGCCGGGCTATCATTAGTGGCCATTAGTAAGTTGGAACTCCTCTGGATGACATCAATTACAGTTGCCCACTTTAATGTACTATTGAATGGCTCCCTAGGGAGACAAATGATGGAAGCAAAAAGTGTTGATTCTTTCTTTTGAGAGCAAATTAGATAGATTTCTGTTGAGAAATAATACCTCGGGATCCAGTATATAGTTCGGGACATGACATGTGCATGCGATTGCCAGGATGATGGAAGGCGAACTGGGTGGTCTCTTTTTGTCTAGCGTATCATTACGTTCTTATGTGCTACTACCATCCACTTACTTCCATTGCTGAGTCGAATCCATGTCTTTGCCTTTATACCCACTCATGAGTTTGTAAAAAAAAAGTAATACTGGAATAATATTTGCATTTGATGAGCAATTAACTAGAAGATTGCAATGCTAGGGCACTAGAAGAAACTCTTTTTGAATCGTACTATTTAATGTACTCCTGAAAATATCAACAGCAGGACATTGGTTTAATGTCTGATCCAAATCATGGCATCTCCAACAATGCAGCGTTTCCTCAACATTGCATTGAAAATCTCTCCCATCTTGTACTTTATGAAAAGCCTTTTGGAAGATTAGATAAAGTATATCATGGTCCTGACTTGGTAATTTAACCTTTGTTGTAGTAAATGATTTGTGTGGATCAGCTCCTTAAACTCCTTTCGTAATCTTAAACCCTGCAGTGAGATAACTTCATTCAGACTCATCTCTCTAAGGGAAAACAGACACGATTCCCTCAACCATTCCTCATCACTGAAATTCCTAAAACATGGTTTCATCTCCTCTGCTCTCTTTTGTGGTCTCCCACGAGCCATGTCTCAAGGTGACCAGAACCGTATGCGAAAATCTAGATGAGATTTGATCAGCGCTTTTTTCAAGAAGAGTAAAATAAGATCCTGTCTGTGGTGGCGCGGGTAGACATGGCGGGATGGGGGGTGCGGAAATAGGATCTCTCTAGAGCTTAAACAGATGACAACCCTAGTCAATGCTCTGCAGTTCCATGTCTGCTGTCTACATTGTCTACATGTGGAAATTCCTGTGTCTGGAATAGAATTCACTCCCTCTCCCCGGAGGGACTCATCAATGCATCTTGCTCACCTAATTCCAGGCAGTATTAGGATCATAGACTTGGCCCATTGTGCCTGTGCCGGCTTTTTGAAAAGAGCTTCCAAATCAATCCGACTCCCCCTGTTCTCTCCCCATAGCCCTTCAAACTTGTCCTTCCCTATTGGGCGCAGGTTGGCAGGAGCCAAGGTTTGGGGGTTGGGGGGAGCCCCCAGAGTCTGCATTGGGGTACCTGCGTTGGAACTCCCTGCCGGCTTCCTGGTGGGCAACACCTGTCACATTTTGACCCGGTTACCCGAAAAAAAAATATCTGAAACTCAAATATCTCAACCGGTGTCTCGTAATCAAAGGATCCTCTTAACAAATCCCGAGTTGTTTAATGAAAGAAGGGTGAAAGATGCCCTAGAAATTACCACCATCAAATTGCGGTTATCTTTATGAATTCCCTTCGACGTGCCCTCTTGTGTGTGGGAATGTTAGCCGGCTGCACAGTCACGCTGATAAGCCTGTCTCTGGGATTCGAAGCACAATGTTATCTGAGCAACCCGTCGTGATGAAGAAATCCCTTTCACTCACGCACTGCAACCCGAGGACAGCTGGAATATGATCTGGCACTTAGGCGAGATGATGGTCGGGGTGGGTGGGCGTGGCTGGGGGGGGGGGGTCGGGGTGGGGTGGGGTGGGGTTTGCTGCCCGGGTTCACAAACAGTGACGCAGTTTGCAATGATGACTTGGTGTCAAGTAACCGGGATGTGCGTTATTAGTCTGACGCGACCTGGGTTCGATTCCCGGGCGGGTCAGGGGCGAAACGTTGGGCAAGTTTCCTTACTCCGCGCACCCGCCCCCCCCCCCCCCCCCCCCCCACACGCACAAACGCGCACGCGCACACGCGCACCCCCATACACACAGGCACGCGCCTCTGTTTGCCCAGCAGTAAGTAAATGCACAGTCACTACACGTTGCAGTATATCCTGTGAAGCGCTTTGAGACGCCTCGATGTATCAATGCCAGGAGTTGATGCTGTTGTCGTTGTTGTTGTCGCTGTTGTTGTTGTCGCTGTTGTTGTTGATGCTGTTGTTGTCGCTGTTGTTGTTGTGTTGTCGATGTCGTTGTTGTCGCTGTTGTTGTTGTCGTCACTGTTGTTGTTGTCGTCGCTGTTGTTGTTGATGTTGTCGCTGTTGTTGTTGTCGTCGCTGTTGTTGTTGTCGTCGCTGTTATTGTTGTTGTCGCTGTTGTTGTTGTTGTCGGTGATGCTGTACGTGGTGAGCACGCACGGGGCTGGCTGTGCGCGGTGACGTAGGGCCGTGCGTGGCGACCGTTGGCGAGGCAGCGCGCACGCGCACAGACAGCCGCTCCCGGGGCGATGGCGGCGGCAGAGGCGGTGGGTGTGAGCGGCGGCGGCCAACCGGGACCGTGAGGCGGTCAGCGGCGCGGGACAGGGCCCCCGGAGCCCAGGTACCGTCCCGGGGGGGGGAGAGGGGGAAGGAGAGAGTGTGGGGGGGAGAGAGGGGATGGGATAGACAGTGGGGGAGAGAGGGAGTGGGTGTGAGGGAGTGAGTGGCTGAGGGTGTGGGAGGGAGTGGGAGGGGGTGTGGGAGGGAGTGTGAGGGAGGGAGGGAGTGGGACGGGGTGTGAGAGGGAGGGAGTGTGAGAGGGAGTGGGAGAGGGTGTGGGAGGGAGGGAGTGAAAGAAAGAGTGGGAGGGAGTGTGAGAGGGAGGGAGGGAGTGGAAGGGGGAGGGAGGGAGTGGGAGGGGGTGTGAGGGTGTGGGAGGGAGTGTGAGAGGGTGTGGGAGGGGGTGTGAGGGTGTGGGAGGGAGTGGGAGAGGGAGTGGGAGGGAGGGGGTGAAAGAAAGAGATAGAGGGAGGGAGTGTGAGAGAGGAGAGGGATTGAGAGAGATCGTATAAGACAG